GTTCATGTGTTCCTTGTTCAAAAATAGCTTTACAACTCTGTTGGTTATGTAAATACATATCATATCGTTTATATTCTTCAATATTTGTCGCTGATGACGATGTTGGAAGTCCAGTTCCATTTGGTATTGTTGGTGAAGACATTCCATTATGATTTATATCCCAAATAGTCAAACAATTCTCCGTACGACATCGATCATAACCAGATAAAAGCTTTGAAATTGAAAGAGAATAGAATGAAATTTGAAAAGATATTGTCTTACTAGATTTGGATGTTTAGAATTCCATGCTAATGCTACACACGCTCGTCCTTGTCTCGAATCGATGACTAAACGAAGAAGTTTGTCAAATGAATAAATTCTTCAATACAAACCTATTCTTCCTTGACTCAATGGATCCGATCGATCTTTCACACTAAAAAGATTTCAATCGATAAACTTCTTTCTAAATTACATCGTTTTTAACAAACTTTTCAAAAATAATTCTTCCATTTGGTTGTCCAATAGCAAATACATATGGATATTCTTGCGATGGCCACCATGCACAACACTAAAATGAATCTTTTTTTGAAGATTTTCCATTCGGAAAAAACGATGTAACAAACTTTGATGTAATTCTTTTCATGTAATGGATAGTTGAGACTTGTAGTTCTTTTATTTGTTCCACCGAGAACACATTTTCCACTTTCTCCGCTTAATGGTCGATCAAATGTGTGAATAATGATTTCAGCTCCGATTTCTGCTAATTGATTTCGATCGTTCGGAGACCAATGAATTTCGGTTTTTTGCATCTGAAATACAAAACTAATGTTGAAAAATTCACTTCAACTATGTTTGTCGTTTGGCATCGAAATCATAAAGTTTTTGTTGATCTTCCTGAGATATTCCATAATTAAAAGGAGGAATTAAGGGCGAAAGACGTGTCGAAACCATCTGATCATATTCTTTCGATTGTTGAACATCAAAATGATTCAACCAATCACCAATTTGACCTTGAAAATACGCAAAACGAATTGAAAGAATCTTTTTTCGAGAAACTACGAACCTTTTCTCAAGAAAGAGAAGGATTTTTTCACAAAGCCCCAATCTTTAAACCAATCATAATTGACTTTGGGATTGTTCTTCATTGAATCGAACGAACACCATTTTTCCAATTTATCCAATTGTTCTTCAGTCAATTCTTTTTCTTTTCCTAAATATTTCGCCAATCGACGAACACTTCCTCGAAAATCCTTCAAACAAAACTTCATTTTTCCTTCAATGAAAATCTTTCGACACGAACTCTAAGCAAATCTTCATAGGAAATACAGCAAATCGTGTCATTCATTGCATAATAATCATTGACATGTCTCCACCAAGGTGCATAATAAACTAAACGATCTCAGAATGTATTTTGATAAATATATTTAACAATGAAAAACCTTCATCGATGAGAAAAGATCGAACAAACTGATTCCACGGTCCAGAATAAGTCAATTCAATGTTGATGGAACGCAGAAAATGAAATAATGACACAGTTACATCTTTCGGATTTCGATAAACATAAACGATCTGAAGAAAAGTTCATTTCATTAGTTGAGAAAACAGATCGAATCATTTTACTTTGGCTTTAGTGAAAGATTCATTAAAGAATGTGGGCGGAAGATGAGTTTTGAAGAATCTTTGTTGATTTTGAGGAAATTTTTGTAATTTCACAGTTGGCCATTCGATGAAAGCAAATCTTTCTGAGATATCGATTTTTTTCGCTGATTCATAATCGAAATTTGTTTGTATTAAATAAACAATTTCCTGAATTAATGTTGTTCCAGATTTGGGAAATGATGCGCAAATACAATCATTTGAATTAAATTGAAAATGTTCAATTTCATTTAATTTTCCAATGATTTGTTCCGGTAACAAATAATTTTTAATCAACGCACATTTTTCTTTGAAATATTTCAAATCCATCCAAATAGGTTGAAATTCTTCATTTATTTCTTTATTTATTTCAATTCGACTTTGTCGACGTCTAAACCAAATAACTGTTCCTGTAATTGCCATCAAAGCCATGACGACATTCACAACACGAAAAGTTTTTTTCAGTTGTATAACCGATTGAAGTTTGATTCGTTGTTCAGGAGTTAAATTATTCAGATCAATGCCACGTTCCAATGCCAATTTCTTCGCTTTTTTTCCATATTGAAAATGATTATACAAACTTTGAAAAAGATTGGAATTTCGATACGATAACGAAAACTGACGAGTGATGAAAACATTTGAACAATGACGAAAATCATTTAAAAATAATCGCATTTCGTCTTTATCTAAAAAGAAATCCATTTGAACAATGTGAATTTGTTTTTTCTCAACAGAAGAAAACAAATTTTTATTTCAATTATTCACTTCATCAAGAGAAAGATCTTCTAATTGATAAACCAGAAATCGATGATTAGTTTTCTTCAAAGTATTTAATTTATAAATTGATCCCAATGCTCCAAATCGATCATTTGATTTCACATAATAAACTGTTGATATTCTCGAATGAAGTAAAGCCATAGCACACATGATACACGGTTCGTGAGTTAAATAAATAGAACATCCGTTTAATAAATATGCTTTTTTCTTTTGACTTTTTTCAATGAAGTTTTCTAAAAGATTTTCTCGATGATAAAATGAAGTTTTTGAGAGATAATCAATGGCCACGATGGTTGAATGTTGTAATGGATGATCTTGTCGATAATCACGTGAACCAACAAGAGGAATTTGTCCATCATTATCAACAATAATCGCACAATGAGATTCTTCATCATCATCTTGAATTTTCTACAAACAAAAAATCACAAATTTGAATGTTTTTTCTTTTTTTCGTCATTTGAATAAACGAACATGGAGTAAATCGAGAATAATTTCGTCATTTTCATTCAATTTCTTCTTCGAAATCATTTGTTCCAGAATTTTGTTTTCTCGAAAGACCAAACTTGGCCAAAACTGTTGAATACATTGGTCATATTGCCATTTGGCTAAACAAGGTGTTTTCGGAACATTGATTTCTCTGGTTTGTTCATCAAAATACTTTTCAAACAAATCATTTGAAATCGGTTGGGGAAATTTCGATGGATAAAGAATAATCTCCGAATTGTAAATTCGTCGAATGTGTTTCAATGAATTCTCCCACGGATAAATTTCATCGATTAAATCGAGAATTTCCGCTGTTAAACGACGATCTTTGATACGAGCAACGATCATTGATTGAACATCAGGTAAATGAAGATATTCATCGGAAATTATCGGAGACCATTGACATTTCTTTATTGAAGATTTACAAAAGCGTTTTAATGAAGAAGAAATCATCTGAAGAGAAAAAAAACGAAATTAAGACGAAAGTAAAGGTGATCCACCATGTCTTAATTGACGATCATAATCTTCAGCAGAAAATGTTCCTTGAAGTTTTTCAAAATTAGGATTAAATACAGAATAAGCACTTAATTGATCAGCACGGCGACGATGTGAACTCAAATTTGTCCAAATGAGATACAAAAGAGATAAAATAAAATAAATCGCACCGAATTCAAGACGAATAAAAATAACAAATAAAGTTAACCAAACGAAAAATTTCAAAAGAATTATTTGCCAAGTGACTTTTTCTTCAATTTCTTCCGCTTTTACTTCCGATGATCGATATGATAAAGAGGGAAACATTGATGTAACACGTGATATGACTCGATGCCAATTGATCAAGGGTTGTTTTGAGGAATTGNAAAGAGATAAAATAAAATAAATCGCACCGAATTCAAGACGAATAAAAATAACAAATAAAGTTAACCAAACGAAAAATTTCAAAAGAATTATTTGCCAAGTGACTTTTTCTTCAATTTCTTCCGCTTTTACTTCCGATGATCGATATGATAAAGAGGGAAACATTGATGTAACACGTGATATGACTCGATGCCAATTGATCAAGGGTTGTTTTGAGGAATTGGATTTACGAAATTCGGCTAATTTCGCTTCCATTTTATCACTAAAATATGTAAATCAGCAGATCTGGATCACTGTGCACATCTTTCGCAGAACAATTTCGTCATTGGATTTCTATTAACCAATCGAATCTTCTACAATTGACATCATTAGTTCAATGAACATTTTTTTCTAATTTTATTCGAAAAATCCTAATCATTTTCATCTGCTCTTTTCGTTTGAGAAATTCATTCACTATTTCCGGTAGATGTCGCACGATGTACCTATGCGTTTGTTAATATCGATCACCGAGTAAATGTTAAAAACCTGACGCAATGTCTTATTTTCATCGTCATTTCATAGAATTTGATTTAGTGAAAACTCTTCTTTATCTCATACACTTTCTTATACGTTACAGGTCAGAATAAACAAATGTCCATTCCTCCAATGGTTTATCCTAAAGCGAAAAAAGAATTCTTTTTCGAGAAAATGTTTCAGATTGTCGTAAGAAAATGAATTTGATTTTATTTATGGTAAACTTTGATGATATTAAATTCTATTGAAGCCAGAAGTTTTGATTGAAATGATCGGACGTATTTTTGCAAATAATATTCATTACATCGATGAACACAAGTTGTTTTTGTTAAAATCATCGATAAACTCTGATTTGTTGCATAAAAAAGAACAAATTTCGTTTGTTTCCTACGGAAATATTCCTGAAATTCATATAAACAAATGTCAAATCCTTTCGTTAAAACTGACGAGAAATAAACAATCCAATGAGTAATAATTTGATCAAAGTTCATATCGAAAAAAATCAAAATAAACGAAAGTGATTTCGATTTGACTAAAAGATTCCAATCGAGTCGTACATTCGGTTGTTTGAACATTTTCTTTTCAAAGAGAATTTCGTCGCCATTATGAATTTCATTTGAATAAGAAAAAAACAGCAACGATGAATAGTTATAAACACAAACTATATGAAATCTTAGAGAATCATGTTTCCAATAACAATCCGGTGGGAAAATACTTTCTAAAAGCAAACATACAGAACATTTCAAGACAAACAATATTCCAAACCATTAAATGTCGAATTCAATTGAACAAATGGTTCATTGTCAACGATTTGAACATGTTTGTTTTTTTGTTCAATCAAAAGAAATAAAATAATTCCACCGATTAAAAGTATTAATGAAAATATCAATGGAATATATAATAAACATTGATCACAAATGTTCGATTTCAAAGATCTTTCACTTTCTTTTGAGAATAAGGAATTAATACTAAATCGTTGCTTTTCACTCATTGATTGAAGAACAAAAAATCAAAAAGAAATTTTTGCGCTTTGAACAATTCACAACGAAAAAGAAAAAATCAATGTGAATTTCACATATTTTCAATTGTAAAAGAATAAAATCAGCAAAATATTTGAAATCTCTTTATTCGAATATTCAAATATCAAGAACAATTTTCTTTCGATAAAATTCCATTGAATTATGAAATAATTCTTCTTTGAATTAACCAACACATCCTAAAAAAAGAATTTCAATATTCGATAAAAACATAATTTATATTTTAAACAAACCTATTGAACACGCACGTGATTGATCACTTGAACACGTACGTAATTCAATATCATCAATAGCAATATGATTTCCCATTCCTGAAACAGCATTTAAAATCATTGAAAGAATAACAGCAGATTCTGTTGCATTAAATGAAACACCAAGTTTAATCCATGTGACTTCTTTATTGTTCTCCAGATTACCAATTTTAGCATAAGTAAGGATTTTCACACGTGAAATACTCTCTACTTGAAAAGTTATATTTGCAGAAGCACTGTTTTGTTGTGTTGTAAATTTATTCACATTTGCTATATAAGCAGAGAATTCATAACAGAAACCAATACAAAGATTAGTAACGTTATATTGAAAAATTGTTGAATTTGTTTGATTCGTATTTACAATGTACATGTATCCACCATTATCATATGGAGTATGATCCATTTTCAAAGTAAACCAAAAAGGAAATGTGTTATTTAGTGAATTGATAAGAACATAATTCCCATCGTTTGGTTGTTGTGTGTAACTAAACGTCAAATCTGTGGTAAAACCAAAGATATTTGTTGTTGCATTCAAAATTTGATCATAACCAGAACCAAATGTTATTAAAAATTTTGGTTGACAATGATTAAGACAATTATTTGAACATTGATTTTTAGGTGCTAAAACAATCAGAACAAAATCAATGACAATTTTTCTCATCTATTTATCTCGAGAAAATCAATTTTTCTACCACAAATATCGTTGGTACAAATTCCACTTAAACAATCAGCGTTATTTTGACATTTTCTATAATCACAACATTTTCTTTTCGGAGAACAAATACCTCCACAATCGATATCTGTTTCGTTTTCATCTTGATCCGAATCAATACAAGTCAAAGCTAAAATAATCAAATGTCTTTTGTTTCTCTCTTTTAAAATTCCAATCTTTTCTTACGTAAACATATTCCATCGAGACATAAATCACTTTGACAATCATTAGAAATGTTACATTTTAGACCATCATCACATTTATTTCCTTGAGCACATATTCCTCCACAATCGACGTCAGTTTCTTGTCGATCTTTATCATTGTCATTACAATATGAAGCTACAAAAATGGATTTTTCAAAAGAAAAGAAGACAATTTTGAAAGAAATATTTACGTAAACAAATCTTTGTTATATTATGACAAAAGCCACTTTTACAATCCGAATATTTTTCACATGTTGCACCAACTGGACATTTTCTGATCGTTGCACATTTTCCACCACAATCTTGATCGGTTTCTCCATCACTTTTCTTCCCATCATAACAACACGAATCTAATCGAAACGAAAATCTCATCTGTTTCTTTTTTTCAAGGAAATCTCAACTTTTACTTTTTGTAGATTTGAGAAAATGAAAGAACAATGAATCCGGATTAAAATCACAATCTGGTTGTAATTGTAATCGACATCTCGCATATGTATATGGATAATTCATATAAGATATTGGAATAATATGACCTAAAGTTCGTTTCGTTGAGGAAAATTGTAAAGGAAATCCTTGATTATCAAGACATGGTTGTCCATTGTCATTTAAAAAGCTAATTTGTGCCTTTAGAATCTGATTTGCTGAATTGTATTGTCCAACAAAGAATTGTTGATCACAAAAGTTCATTAAATCTCGATGTAAATCCATTTCACAATATCCATCATTCATTTGATAATTATTTATCCAATTTGACACATCACAATATGGAACTGTATCACCTTCACCTTCTTGTTCATAAACTTTTGTACAAAATTCATCTACAAAATTTCTTTCCTTTCAAAGTAATTCTATTAGTTGTATTTTACCTGGAAGAGCACCTTCATCAGGATCCTCATCTGAATTATCACTGGCGATAAATCCAATCTAGAAGAACTTCTTTAGAAAAGAATTTTCGTGTGAAAAAGAAGATTTTCTTACGAAAAATATTGTTAGAAGAATCAATGATTTCATTGTATAAAGATGAATGAAAACAAAAAGAGAGAAAGAAAGTTGAAGGTGCTCGGGTTTTTCTCTTTATTGAAAACAGATTTTCGGAAAATGAGTTTCAGTTCTATTTTAAGAGTCAAAATAATTCAAATCAAATGTTTTATAGAAGTTTAGAAAAAAAGAAACATATTTTTGTCTTTGATTTCATATTCTGTTTGACTTTCATGGATAGAAGAACGACCAGATCGATTTGATTTCAAAATATGATAAACATGTTAAACTTTCTGCAGATATATTCGTAACTAAATTCAGTTCTGTACATTACCAAACAGAAAAAGATCAAATCAAATTATATAAGAAGATTTTCATCATCTAATTTAGTTCATATCGTTGTTTTCTTTTCGAGAATTCAAATCTATGATATCATTGATCGACCAGTCATCCTATTCCACAATGTTGAACATTTGGGAACCAGTTCCGCCTACGGAATCGATTCCTCCGATTCCGTCCTTACACAAGTTCAATGAATTCCGGAATCATAGGATCTGATTCCGAAATGTGCAACATTGCGGAATAGAATGTATTCTCCATTGATTGATCAATAATCTTGACTTTCGTATTGACTGATTTATCTTTTAGTATGGTTGAGTAAATAGTTCACATAGTGTCTTTTGACGATTTTTATAGCGAAACTTTCAATGACACGCGATATGAACAACTTTTTTTTCTTGATCATTATCATCCATATTGTCAAATCTTTATGACAATAAATAATCTTGAGATGCGCATCATTTTTTGTGTAATATCTTACATTGTATTTCGTCATTGATTTGAATCGCTTATCGCGAAGTTGAAATTTTCTTCAACTTGTGAGAAATTCCAATGGAAATTGTTTCATATTATTCATTAAATTTCATCATCTTACAATAAATTGTTAACGAATTGATCGTCTATTATTCCAGAATTATTTTGAAAAGTTATCATATCGATGATTCTCACTGATTTATTTCCTCATAAAAAATGAATCGAATAATTAAAGACAAACATTTCTTTCAATCTTTTGATAATTTAGATAAAACATTCTCTGTGAAATATGACTTAAGATATTTCATAGATCATCAACATCAATGTTTGAATTAGAAATCTCTTTCCACAACATAGTTTTCGTGAAACACACAAATATCTCAAATCTTCGTTAATCTCATTCAAATTTTCTTCGAATAATTACAATAAGAAAATAAAAAAAGAATGTTGTATTCTCTTGTTCGTTTGAATTTGTTCTTCAATTAAAAGATCTCAATAGTTTTCATCATAAGATTTCGAAAAATGAAAGACCAACGTATTTGAATTAACACAATTGTAATTGTAATCGACATTTTGCATAACAAATTTGAAGATTTTTATAGATAAATTGGATCCGATGATCTAAATCTCTCCTGATGTTGATACAAATTGTAAAAGAAGTCCTTGATCGTTGATACACAACTTTTTTTGTATTCATTATGAAAGTTAATTTGAATTTGATCCAATGAAGAATCTATCATTCCAGAAATTCATTAAATCTCGATGAAAATCTATTTCACTGAAACCTTCTTGTGCGTAGATTTGATTACATAATTTGTCTAAAAACAAAATAATTCAATTTGAAAACTATTCTACATGTTCTGTTTTACTTCAAATGCCACGTAGTGAAGAATAATCGCGATTATCTTTACACCGAAAAGTTTTTCATATCTGGATCTACTACGAAAGACATATCCATAATTTCTATGGTTCTTCGCAAGTTTTTTTTGTGTGATTTCCACCTATGATGTTCGAAACCGTTCTTATTTCTATAATTCCCTTTAAACGTCTTTTTAGATTTGCCAAAATGTCTATCTTTATCCTTTTTATTGGATTCTCCATGACTTCTCTTAAGATGTTTCTCACTCGAATCCTCTTCCATCACATTGCGGTGTTTTGTATCCATATCTTTATGTATAATCTTCCATTTATACTTCCTATTATGACCGTTACTATCGCTCTCACGAGATATCTGCTGACTAATTTCATCTTGAAATCGCTGGACTCTTTCTGATCTAGAAGTACCCTGTGGAATCTGCCTTTGAACGGTGGGGTCAATCAGGTGATGAGTTTTAGTATTAGTAGCAGGCATAACGTTGAAAGCTGAGCTTTTCTCAGAGCTAATATGTTTCACAACAACTTTGATCGCTCCAAGAACATGAGCAGCATTTTTCCCTGAAGTACCAACAGCTTTGCTAACAGATCATTTCGTGGGTGGATTATGAGTTTCACCATAGTTATGACTATCTAATTCAATTTTAGCTACCGCAAGGGGGTGTGTCATCTCCTATTTCAGTTGATAGATGAGCTGACGGGTTGTTATCAGTTTCACGAACGAATCGTCGATTGTTAGCATCGACTCGATTACTTATTAGAGAAAATAGACTTGTTTTGGCGGATATTTTTACAGCAGCAAGATGACAATACTCGAATCTAATCTAGAAAACGTTTGATTTTCAGCAAATTGTCTCTCTTAAAAGAAGTTTTCTTCACAAGAAATAACGTTACAAAGCAAAATAGTTTCACTGTGCAAAGAACAATTTCAAAAGTGACTCCTTTATTATACTCTATTTAAGTTAATAGAAAATAGATTTTATTGAGTGTATCGAGAATGAAGTTTTCCTTGTGCTAAGAGACGAAATAATTCAAATTAAATGCTGAATAATATAAGAAAAACATGTTTTTTGTCGATATTTCCTCTTGTTCCTGTTTCACTGTCAAATCAACAAGTTTTTCCTCATTAATCAAATTCAAACACACTCCTTATATCTTTGCAAGGCAAATTTCTATTCTTCAATCAATATAATTCAACCACCAATGAGACACTAAGAAACAGTTGATCAATGAAATGTCTCTTGTTTTCATTTCCTTGCAGAAAGTCGAACTTTTCGTTTAAGTTAATTTTAAGATTGACTCGTGCTTATGGGATTACGTTGAGCTCGATCTGTCAAATTGAATTTGAGTTTCATCTACGTTTTTATGTTCCTATAGTGACGTTCAACAACCACACAGTAGAAATGTACACGTAAAGAAATGAAATTTGTTTTAAATTGTACTCGAGTCTTTAGACGCGACAAGAAGATTTGAAATTCTTCTCTCTTCTTTCAAATATAAGTTTAATTTCATTCATATCTTGGACTATTGAGACATTCTCCAGAAAATTCGTAAATTCTCAGAAAACAGTTCAAGATTTGATCCAAATTGACAATAAACAAAATGATCGGTGATCGATTATCGTCAACTATACCTTGATTTGACACGTTCTCAAAGAGAAGAAAATTTTAATTAAAAATTCGGAGTAAATCTTTGACTTTGATAAATGCTCGAAGCATTGTTTATGATGATCCTGTCAAAAAAGAAAAAATGAAATGATAAAAATAAAGAAAAAAAGTGAGATTAGACTACATACTTTGACGAATCTCTTAATAAAAGATATTCTTACATAGATGAACTAATTATAATATGAATACAATGTATATAAACGTTAGTTTTTAAATGAGAATCATTGACAAAGAAATACAATGTCGGATATCTTAGGAGAAATTTCAGTGAAACTTGCTCAAATTCTTTTACCAATCATAATATTTGTTGGTGTATCTGGAAATATTTTGAATATAATTATTTTAACTCGAGTAAATCTACGAAATCACGCCTGTTCAAAATATTTCTTAGCACTTGCTTCAAATAATCTCCTTTATTCATTATTTACCATCCAATATCTCTTATCCAATGGATTTTCTATTGATGGTCAAACAATATCAAATATTTCCTGTAAAATTCTTCAATATATCGGTAGTGCGTGTCCATTTCTTTCACCATATTTTATTGTCTTAGCTTCAATTGATCGATTCTGTGCCAGTTCATCAAATGTAAATATCCGTGCACTTAGTAATGTAACAAATGCAACAAGATTAATCATTTTCATTGTCATTTGTGTATTATTATTTTTTATAAATACTCTTGTCTTAAATGAATATCGTGATGATGGATATGGATGTACCATTCGTCCTGAAACTTTGTACAATCAAATCTTTTACATTATACAAATCATTCTATTTGCTGCTATTCCTCCTATTCTCATGATTTTCTTTGGTTTATTAACAATTTATAATACAACACGATTACAAGTGAACATTCAAGTAACTATTCGACATCGTCGAACAGAGAGTCAATTGGCACGAATGCTCTTTCTTCAAGTTGCTATTTATATTCTATTGAATATGCCTATGTGTATTATGTATTTAATGTTAACATTACCATTGGATTATATTCCAACACAGGAATTTTTCTTTGCTTTGTCAATAAGTACAATTTCGTTTAATTTTTCATTTGCAACAACATTTTTCTTATATATTCTTACGGCACGAGTTTATCGTGAAGAATTATTTCGTTTGATTTCGAAAGTTTTTCATTACAGACGTGCAAATCAAGTTCAACCAATGTCAACAACACGTCATCCGGAGGTAACACGTCATAGAAACTAATTATTGACTTTTTCTGAACATTTTTATGTTATTAACGTTGTTCGTCTGTTTTGTATCCTTTTTTAATTATCTTAGAAAATACAATAGAATCCTCGTAAGATAACTTATTTCGAAAGAAAATGTAACAGGAAAAGATTTACACAAAAATTTGATTAAATTCCGAATATCTGACTGATTTACTAACAATACATTTGATAAATACAATGAAGAAAGTGTTGAGAGGTTTTTAACGGTGATACTACGATCATCGTATATGAATTATGACTCGACAATACTATATTAAACAAAAGATTGTGTAAAGCTTCAAAATGTTCTCAATGAGCATACGTCAGTAACATCCGTATAAAATAAACGAATGTGCCACTGACAGGTCTGTCTTCGCGATAATGAGAATAGTAATGAACTCATCTAGAAACATTTTTTCAACAGATCTTTGTGCACAATATTCGCAAAATACCTGGATAAACGATTAAGATGTGGATTTTAAAACATTGGCAGCTACCGCACTCTGCACAGATCTCGTGAATCAATGCACAAAATAAGTCTTATTTGCTCTTTTGTCAACCACAAAATACAGAACAAACGATGACGTCAAGCTGTCGAAGAAAAGGCGACGGAAAAATCCGTATGTCTTTTTTTTTCATATAACGATTATTTCATAACAACATCTCTTCATATTTCTGTTTGTACCAACACACAAATACACTTTCAAACCTTCGTCGATTATTAATCTAATCATGGCTTCATCAGACGATATCTTCTTTTCAACAGGGGTTGATGACCATAATCCTCCATCACGTATGATTAACTTAAAAGACTTGATCATTTCAATGCTGATTTTGTTCATTTAGATGGTGATTTAACTTTTATCGATGAACTTTTAAATGAAATGCGATCAATAAGTAAATAAAACTTTCATACATGTTCAAAAAGAACTCTTCTTAATCGCAAACTCGTTTTTAGATCCTGACAATGTCGATATAACGTCGACTGACACAAATCAACTTGATTCCGTGTACGAGAAATTATCCGCCGGTAAAATAAACACAAAAGTTTGTTTTCATGTCATTCGATTACGTTCATCATTCAGGTCAAAGTGGAACCACAGAAATTCATGGAATACCATCATCTTTGCAAAATCAATTCGATTCTCTTCAAATAAATGAAGAAAATCGAACGAGAAATTCAATTCCACCACTTACAAATAATAATCAAGTGGTTCAAACGAATGAAGAAAAAATTGATGGTATAATGTTTCAAAAAAGAAGATAAATCCTCCTATTTAAATGATTTGTTCAGGTTTAGATCAAGCAATGGCACAATTATTTTGTGAAGATTTTCCGAGTTCATCCGAAACATTGACAACTTCACCAGAAGAGTCAGTTGTCAAATCGGTTTGTTATTTCATATAAAACGCCAATTTATGCAAATTTCTTTGTTAGGATTTCACTGTTCGCTCAAATTTGGTTAACTCTACTGAAACAATCGCAACACATCAAATCTTACGATTTCGCACACCACCATTTTTGAATCAACGAGCTCGATATGCGAGCGATCATAACATATTTTTCCGTTATATCTCAGCACCGGACAACAATCGTATCAGTTTTCATGTAAAGACACTTCTTTATTTGAATTTCATTCCATCTTCATTTTTTCCTCAGGCACTTCAACTTCGTGATGGCTTAGCACCGGATATTTCTGTCGTAATGCGTGTTACTCGCACTACAAATCCATATGAATCGGTGACAATCTGTCATCCTTATCCGTTGTGGGTCAACGATCCAAAAGCACAAGTTCATCAAGGTTCATTATTACTTGACATCACTAAGGAAATACGAAACAATGAAGAAATTAGGTAAATATTATTAATTAGTCAATAAAGAGAAAATCTCATTAAATTATTTTTTTTAGTTTTGAAAATTTAATGATGGTACGATTAGGACAAAGCCCGTTAAAGGAAATGACTCAATGGCCAATCTTTACAACGAATCAACTTGACTACAATGGTAAGAAGAGCACAAATCTATTTTCTTACTTATTTTGAATAACTTTTTAGATTTTCATCAAACCGGTATAACTGATCCAAAAATTCTCATTGAAAAATACCGTCTACATGACAGTATTTTGCATTTTCAAATATTCGTTGTTGATACAAATCACGTGGCCTATCCAACTGATCTGTTATGTGAAACAGAGTCTATATTCGAATATGAAGGTAAAATCTAAATTTACCTGCACATTTAACCATAAATCTTTTTTCAGAGAAGGATCGTTTGCAAATTCCCAACTATTTACCAGCTGCGCGACGACGCCAACCCAAACGATTACAACGACAGACATCACGCAAAGTAAATTGAAGTTCATAACCGCAGAAAATTTCAAATATCTTTTCATATTTTTAGAAACGAGTCAACTGAAGGGACTCATCCGCCAAGAAATATTACAATGCGTATAAACCAGTGACTGATTTCAAATCTTTTTAGTCAAGACTAAATGAATATTCTCCGAGTGATTTTTATTCTCCATTTGTTTTGTTATCTTTCTAAACAAGAAATAAACTCATTTATCGTATAACGTTTCGAAAGATGTCGCTACTCATTGATAAACACAAGTGAATATATCTTACATATCTGTTGTCGTCGATTAATCCATAAAGTACCCAATGAGAAAAAAGCTTTGGTCATGTTTTACAGTTGAATTCCTATTATCGAAAAAGAAAGATAAATATGAAATCGAAGAAATTATTTGTTACATTCTTCTCTAATTTAGATGACTTCAATTCATACATTAAAACGGCAATGTCAATGGTGTTCTCAGAATATTAATGATTTAACAAAGTCATTCAATTGTCCACATATTGTTTGTAATCAATGTCTTTTAACCGACACAGGGTGTCAATCGTCTTGTCCGTTATGTTGGTATGAAAATGCCGGACAGTATGTTTCGAGTTATCGTATTTGTTCAGGTAAATTGACGAGAGTTGCCAAGAAATTTTTTGTCGAAAATCGCCATTAGTTTGTTGTAGTGGTATTAATTCTAGTGATCGAATTCCAAAATGTATTGGAAAACATCATTATTGCTTTGAATGTATTCCCGAAGGTTGTGTTTTGTGTCGATTCCATCTAATAAAACATTTCAACCAAGTGAAATTTCGTGATATGTCAGTACATGATCAACATATTCTGTTTACGTGTCAAATTTGGGAAAAGAAATTTGAAGAAATTCAAGAAAAATTGAAAAATAATGTCGCATCGTCTTTTCCAACTGATATCATTCACAATGCACAAGAACAATCACTAATGAATTCAGGTAAGAGAGTCATTGTGAATCTGTTCTGATGAAAAATCTTTGAAGAACTTGCAAATGAAGAACTGGGTGATTGTATGATTTGTCTTGATCAGTTAAAATCTTCTCCTTCATGTCGACTCCACACTTGTGGTCATTCATTTCATCAATCTTGTATTGATAAATGGTTCGAATCAAATGGAAAACAATCTTGTCCAAGTTGTGGACATGTTTATGGCATTACCAAAGGTTTGACAAACTAAAAAACTGCTCATCACCCTTCTGTTTCGCCTTTTTCAGGTCCTCAACCTGCCAACGGTCGTATGATAGTTCGACATATTCAAACGATCCTACCTGGATACGAAACTCATCATTACGAATCTAATGAAGGTCCAACCATTGAAATCACGTATTCATTTCCTGACGGAATTCAAGGTCCATTGAATCCGAATCCTGGTGCATCGTATAGTGGAACAGTACGAAAAGCATATTTACCAAATACGAAGGAAGGACAAGAAATTTTAAGTTTACTACGTCGAGCTTTCAACGATCAACATATTTTCACAATTGGAAAATCAATCACTACTGGAATGGACAATGTGATCACATGGAATGATATTCATCATAAAACGAGTATTTATGGAGGAGTTGATCGGTAAATTTGAGAATAACTTCGTGTATTTAAGAAAGAAAAGGACTTTTTATTTAGTTTTGGTTATCCTGATCCGACTTATCTCTATCGTGTTCGTCAGGAACTTGCTGATAAAGGATATAAATAAATAAATAAATATTTGATCTGTTGTTTTAGTCGAATATTTTTTTGTAAATAAAACTTTTTTTTCAAATAATTCCAGATAAACATGGCGTCGTCGTATTGGAAAAGTTCGCAATTTGACCAATGGTTATTCGATCGTCAAGAATTGTTATCTGTTCGTTTACGCGACATCGCATCGTGGCCAATAAATCCAAATTCTTCTCCAATCACGGAAGATGATTATTTGAAAATCTTAATTTTCTATTCGAATATCATTCAAAACATCGGAGAACAATATAAAGTTCGTCAACAGGTCATTGCAACAGGAATTGTTTATTTAAAACGATTTTACGCTCGATATGCATTGAAGAGTATTGATCCTTGGCTTCTTTGTCCAACTTGTTTATTTCTTGCAGCGAAAGTCGAAGAATTTTCAACATTAAGTCATCCAAGAGTTTGTAATGCCGCTGCAACAACTTACAAAAAATACGCTCATCTACTTGGTAAGTCACAAATTCCAAGTCTAAGATATAAAAATATCGGTTTTCTTGGAAAATCTAGGTGGTCCAAATGAATATCCTTATCAAATCAAACATATTCTCGAATGTGAATTCTATTTACTTGAAATAATGGATTGTTGTTTAATTGTTTATCATCCCTATCGTTCCTTGGACATGTACACACGAGAATTTCAAGTCGATCAACAATTATTCGAAGCTGCATGGCGTATCATCAATGATTCATTAAAAACCGATGCACCATTATTATATCCTCCATATGAAATCGCTTTAGCTTGTTTGTTACTTGCCGCGACATATCGCGATAAAATGCCTCTGTTAAAACAATATATGATCGATGCTCAAATCGATGTGGAAAGAGTTTATGAAGTTGTNAAGTACAAAATTTATCTGGACTTGAAATGTTAGAATTCCATGTCGATGAAATTTGGACTGCTAATTAACAGTTTTTCCTTTTCCTCTTTGTTTGATTGTTCTTTTACTTGAAATATATGCACGGAGCACTACGGCAAATCATTGACAAGATTTTTGTTTTCGCTCATTAGATTTATGGAAGCCAATATCCAATGAGGGTGTGTGAGAATGAAGAGAATAGCTGTATGGACATCTTGGTGCAGTCGTTCGCCTCAGATAAGGATTGTTTACGAGCTGGAGCATATTGATTCTTCAAATCTTTCCTATTATCTTCTCGTGTTAGTTCTACGACGTTGTTATGCGTGAAAGGAATGTGAGAGATGGATTGAATATTATCCATTATATCTCAACAAGTAACGCTCGTCTAGCGACTCGCTCAGCTCTTTCTCGTAGAAATCGTGCTTTCAGATATTACACTTTAAAGCTATTATTGAGTATTTTAATTTATTTCTAGTGTAGATTAGATATTTTCACAAAAGCCACAGTAGATATTTATACCAAATGATAAATAGAGCATTAGATATTGTGAAGAAATATCAATACAGTTAGAAAGACTATGGATGATTGCATTAAAAAACGAAATTAAGAAAACACGAATGGCAATATCTAATGCAATGAGAGAAAAGAGACAGTTACTACAATAATTAAGATAAATGTGAAGCAAGAGATAAAGAAAATAAGCATGCGTGAATAATTGTTTTAAGGTGATTTCAAAGTATAATACGTTTTATATGCTTGCAATAACACTAATCTCTTAGCAAAGTATTGATTTACACATGTTTCAAAAAATGAAAGAGGTACACTCTCGTTTTGTCTCTTTGTCAAGTTCATCTAAACGTTTCAGTTCAGTATCTTGCGCAGAAGAAGGTTGAACTTGTAGGACCTTCATGTGGAAAGGTCGAAGGATAACTATATCATCCCCTTTCTTCGTCCTACTGAGTGGTACATATATCGATGCTACTTGCAGTGTTCCAGGCGGAACTTGGAGATCGACTACGATTTTGTTCATTGTGAGTCCTTGTGCTTTGTATGTAGTTATAGCGAAGGCAGGTACAATTCCCGACCCCAAAATGTCTTCGGTAAATTTTTATGAAAAAACCTGTTTTTTACAAAAAGGTCGCCCTTTGTATAAAAAAACTAATCCATCTAAACAATTTAGAAAAATAGCGCCAGATTCGAGTTCATCGACCCAAATAACTCCTTAGTCAAATTTTATAAAAGAGCTTTTTTTCGTAAAAAACCGCTCTTTGTCTAGAAAATCATTTTTTACAAAAAATTTCGAGAAACTAACATCAAATTTGAATTCCTGGACCCCAAAAACCTTTGGTAAAATTTTTTTTTAAATTTTTGTAAAAAATTGGGTTTTTGTCTCAAAAAGACTTTTTTTATGAAAAATTTCCAAAAAATAACATCAGATTCGAAGTCTCCGCATCGAAATACATCTAGAAATGTCTTTTCGGAAAAATTGATTTTCAATGTTTTTTTTGACCCTGCGGACATACAAGCAAGCAAACAATTTATGTTTCTAAGACTCTTCTCTACGAGAAAGAGAATATACTCTAGCCTTCTTGTTCGAAAGGAATATCAATACATAGATTAATATTTTCCTCCTTCTTTTCGTATTGTTTCATTTTCTATATTTATTAGGTGAACGAAAAATGCAGAAAAACAAAATTAAAATGTCGTTCCATTTCGAAATGATGTCTTAGTTACGGTCCATCGGCTTCAGTCTAATGGAAATAAGACAATCGTGATTACAATATCAAAAGTCGAACTTACCGAACACTTAGGTCGCGCTCTTTCAAACTTTTGATAACCATTTCTACCCAGGCGGACAAATCCCATACTCGGATCCTATATAGGTTTCTGTCGGATCTTATCGGAATCCGATGGTTACGGATCCCATGTCGGATCCGAAACACGGATTTTCTAAGAGTCATCATAGAACCTAGCTAAAAATAACGCTCATAAAATTTGCAACAAATGACTGGATTTTTCCAGTCGGAATCCGATGCGATTCCGTCGCCAGGAATCCTATCGGATTTCGTCGGATGGTCGGATCCAACGTCGGATTTGTTGACCTGAGTATGTTATAAGTGGTTATCTCTTTGGTGTAGAACATCACTTTTACTCCTTCGTGCTGGACTGCGCACAGTATGTCAAGCACTATCTAAACAGAATCGAATTTCACCTCACATATCAAGGAAAAAAACTTATACTCACCTGTTGACTATCTTTTTTCGATATCACGGCCCCAACGCAATTCTTGTATATCGAAGTCCCGCAGATTGGGCATTGCACCACTGATTTCATCAGCTTTAAAACACACTAAAAAGAGAACCTCATTTATATCCCGATTCCGCAAGCATTGATCAAAAACAACTTACAATCTTCGGCGAGCCTCCGCACTCACCCGCAACACCAGATTGGTCGAATGGATATCGATCCACTTGAGTGTCACCACCGGCAGAAGCAAACAAGTCTAAATCTAAATCAACGAGGGATTCAGGAGGTTAACAACGAGCAATCGAACTTACTAGAAGGTGTGAAGCGGAAGTGACATGGAGGAGAAGGGGCGTTCGCTGGTTGCTAGTATGATAGAATAGTGAAAATTAATATGCAAGAAGGGTATTACCTCGGATAAAGATCGACTGTTATTGTCGGGTTGGATTCCATAGCAGTTGTTTAATCTAAAATGAGGAAAATACGTTTGAGTTGAAAATAAAGTGTGGAGAGATTAAAGCTAATCGTAAAAATTGAGATGGAATAGACTATCAGTGTATTTCGTTTCGATATATGTTCGTAATTTACGTTCATTCACATCATAGTCATTTTTCTCGGGTACACGTGATACTGTATAAATTCATAGCAGGAATTTTGTTTCCGTTCAGCTCTTTCTCGCAGTTCGATTTTGTTTCGCCTCTATTAAATTTACTTTATCTGGCTTTTTCGTTGACTAGAACATGTGGATAAATCTAGTAGTATTTCGTACATTTCATCGCATACATTGTAGCGACTGGCTTTTGAATCGTTAAGATGTATAAGCCAAAAAAGAAAGTATGCTACGAATTCTTCCGTCATGCTATTTGTATCAATAAAAGAATAAGTTCATGTGATTACATCATTTTCCGAATGATTGATTATCGAATGATCGATATTTCGAAGTTAATAAGAGAAAGACTACTTGAGAAGTCAATGATGATACCGTTGACTAACCTCCTGCATACCGAGGACATTTTCGTTCTGCTGAATATGATTATAGTGAACAATTCGATATAAAACGCAAGAAAATAATTTCTGTCTCTATCTCGCCTTCAGTCGAAGACATCGGTATTCAAAAGATTAAAGAAAGAATATGTGTATCGGCAGCATTGTTGTCGCTTGCATGGAATTGAAAAACCTATTTGTTTCCAAAGAACTTTTTTTGTTCAAATTCAAATGACCAGTTGTTATCATTTTCATACATACGTTCAACTCGTTTCTATGTCACAGAACTTTGAACGAATATTGACTTGAGCAATGTCTTTTTTTAGCAAGCAAAATTTAGAACTGAACTTTGTTCTCAGTAATACAATTATTCATCTCGGATCAATTCAACGAAAACCTCGACTCAGACGACATGCATTCACTAATTCTCCCGAACTTCAGCCATTACAAATGACATTCTCATAATGGAAATCATTTTATACCATTCATTTCATCGATCTGAACCTTTATTTTCAATTGTAGTCCCGAATGCATTTTTCACAAATAAAAATTCTCACAATCTGAATTTCAGACAAAGAAAAAAAGAAGGAAAATTTTCCAACTTATCTTTCCAAATTGATTCTCTTTCTTGTAAAGAACCTTATAACTATAATTTCCCACGAGAAAATTTTAAAACAGATACCACTGGTCTCCGCGGTTTTTTCATAACGGTTGCGGTTATATCGTTGAAGGTCGCGGTATCGAAAAGAAACCGCGGTGTGCTGCACCGCAACACAAATATATCGCGGTATGTTCAAAACAAATTGCAACGTGATCACCGTTCAAGATCGCGGTAGTGGCGGCGCCAGGGGTGGGCTCAGCCCACCCTAAAGGTATCTGAGCCCACCCTGAGTTTTCCTGAAAACCAGCGATAGATAGACTCTAGGGTGGGCTCAAATAGCCTGAGCCCACCCTAGTCTGGGTTAAGACGGGCTAAGCCCACCCTAGTGAGAATTCCTGGCGCCGCCGCTAGATCGCGTTTTCGAAAATGCGCGATGAAAAGTAGGTTAGCAGTGGTATTTGAGAGGCGCCATCTTCCACAAGTTTATATTCTGCGAGATTCTCATTGTGAACCACGATCTTAAAATTTTTCCTAAGGGTATCGGTGCCCAGAATACTTTAGTTCTCGTTTTTATTTAGACTTTTCATCTATTTTCTCGTTATGGGAATGTATCGCAACAACTTCGGTACGTGAAATCACGGTGCGATAAAAAAGAATCTAATTACAAATCGATTCATCTTTTAGTTGATAAACGGCATGGTTTATCAGAAAAAGCTATCGAGAGAATATAAACGCATTTGTTTTTGTTTATCAGACTATAATAAGTTCAACATCCCTTCTATTATTATCTGTCTTGCATTTTCACTTGAAGAGGTCCAAGCAAGAACTACTTTTGTACAAATAAGTTCACCTATTTAGACGCTATTCATCGTTAGGGGTATATAAAAACTTGATAAACGTCAATTTAGTCCCATACAAGTATTTCGTTAAAAATTTAGTTCTAAAATAGTTAAAAATATTGATCAGATTTCAGTAAAAGACAACTATTTATCAGAATCTAATAATATAGTTGAAACTCAGACGTAGACATTCACTGCAAAAAATCTGTGGTGAGAATAAACCCTTCAAAAGGATTTATCAAACTGATCAATTCTTTGAGATACGTTTTTTTCCGTTTATTAGCATCATAAATCTTTTGATATACCCTTAAACGTTTATCAGATTGCAACGTATAAAATACCTTTTTGAGTAAATCACAAGAGCAGGTATATCAAAAGGTTTATGATGCTAATAAAGGGAAAAACATATCTTAAAGAATTGACCAGTTTGATAAATCATTGTGGAGGGTTTATTATTCACCAACGATTTTTTTTCAGTGTTTAACAAATCTTTTTTGATGAATACATTTGAGATACGTGTAATAAACACTATATGGGTTGTTTTCTCAAAATATAGATTTACAGATATAATAAATTATGATCTTTCAACTCGTTAGGCCATTTAATAACTCGCAGTATCACGGTCAATTAACTAAGCGATTCTAATAAATGAATGTTTTTCTTCTAAGTGTAATATTCATAAAGGTAGATTATTTATTCAAACATCACTGACCATAAGTATAGGCGATAAGTGGAAGTCTTTCCAGCTAGATAGTGCTTAGTTTATCGTCGATGTCAGTATCTCGAGAAGTTTGAAAAATTGTGAAGTAATTAGACGCCTCTAGTATTCGTGAGACTCATATAAATCCATCAGTAAATGAAACATATCGATCGAAATCAGAAAGTTTCTTGATACAGATAAGATAGACCATCTCATTCAATCTTAGTATGAATATCATCAGATGGTTCAAAGGAATTAGTGGACTACAGTCATAAGGTAAGCCGTTCGAATCTAACTAAAGAATAGGAGGTGGCATCTAATCAGCTGACCGAGGTGTGATACTCTTGTATAGAGATATGAGATGATAATGAGATAGATGGCTGATATGATATACCATCACGATGGCGAATTACGTTTTTTTCGAAAAACCATTAATAACCGCGGTTTTGGCCGGTGCGAGAAAACCTAATAAAAAGGTCTGCCTTTCGTGTTTCAATTAAACCGCTGACACCAACGCCCTGGCGCACCGTGATACACCGCGGATTCGATCAAAAAATTTTTGCGTGGGTTGCCTTATGACTTTCCTCAGCAAGTCTGCAGACGAGTCAATTATATGAAAATGTTGTCGGATGGACAAATTACATTTTCTCAGCTTGTTCTCATTCGAAATAAATCAATAAATGTCTCTTTACCATTGTTATCAGTAACATTGTTTTGAATCTTTTCGTCCTTCAAAAGAAAAGGAAGAAAAAAATTCTTAAATGAATTACGACTATTTATATTTACGAAGAAAGAAGAAAAAAAAAGTTTTTTATTGCCTCACTCAAAGTATATAACACTGTGATGACACGATGAAACACGATTTTACCTTTTTTGCTCTTGTGATAAATCAATGAAATAAATCAATTATGGCTAATAACCAAACTTCGGGATCGGAGTTATCTTTCGTAAGTAAAAGATATTGTATTTCTTGTAAGATTCATCGATGAACATATTCTCGATAACAGAAAAGAAAAAATGAGAAGAAATTTTTCGTAAAATTCTTTAGAGAAATTTTCGTCAATATTCTCCATTGATCCTTCATGCAAACAGTATTGCCAGTGGTCTTTTATTTAATTATTATTATTCATATCTTAATCGACAAATTGGTTCAAGTATGACACATTTGTTTGTTTATTTGTTTATAAAATGTTCATTTTCTTTTAGCGAATAATATTTTTATAAAATTTATTTTCAATGAAATTCTTTCTCGAGATTTATTTCCTTTGACAATTTTTGTTAAATTTCACACATTGATCGAAAAAAGTTTTCTTGAGAAAAGTCCATCAACTGTCGAATCTGATGGAATTCAGTCAATTCAATCGAAAATTCTTCAATTCAAATTTGATCAAATTTCTCAAGAAAATTCCACAACAATTGTCAATTATTCGTTAATCGGTGTTAATGATTTTGGAATTTCTCTTCAATTAATTCGGATCTTTCAAGATGATTTTCCATTGGATAATTTAAATGAAATTCAATTGAATGACGATATACGAGAATGGAATTATCAATATATTCCTTTATTTGCAACTCATTCGTAATTATCTTTTCATTTTCGAATATTTTATTGAAAGAATTTCATTTAGAGAGAATGAACATATTATTAAAATATTTGAAAAAACCGATGATTCAACAAAGAAATGTTATTTTTTACCGTCAATTCAACGCTCGATGTATGAAGATGGAAATGATGGTAAACATGTTTTTTGTTTTTGAAATTGCAAACAAAATCGATTGTTTTAAGGAGTGAATACAATGAAAAAGACGAGTAGAGATTGTTATAATTTGTATAGAAATGATCCAAAGATCAAAAATAGCAAAACAATCAAGAAGATTAAGATGATTCCTGAATATTTTCTGATAATGCCATCTTCATGTGATTTTGGTTCACCTTGTACAGCTGATCCCAAAGAATCTGATGAAATTCCTCCTGAAGGAATAATCAAAGATCGAAATGATGAAAAGAAAATTCGATTAGCTTGGGTTAATGGGTAAATTCTGTAGAAAAGAAGATTTTATCTGATCTTTTGTTTTGTTTTTAAGCGAAGTTCTTCGATCTCGTCCAATGTATCGATATAATCGATATTTACGTCGTACTTATTATTATTTTGATGAATTTGATATTGAAGGACATATTATTCGAGTAAAGAAAAACAAACAGAAAATGAAAAATATCTTTTGTTTTTTTTCTTATTTGAAAAGTATTTATTTTGTGGTGAACATCCATTTATTTTATCAACTCTTCATCAATTAACCAAATCTGAACAAATCTCTTCGTCACAAAAATACAATGAATATTTACGATTTTGTTCAATGTTAAATCGAATCATTGAAATTGAATCTTTACAAAATTCAATCAAATTAATTTCTTTCAATGATTATGGCGGAATCGACTCAATCAATTGTAAAGCGAATTTTCATTGGAAATTGTTGTTAAAAAGCGTCATTTGTTCGTTTAGATGCCGATTATCAATCATTATCGGAACAAATTCGAAGAGAAATTGATCAATGGGATGAAATAACTTCCGATCTGTTCTCATCTCATTTTGTAAGAATTGAAAGATTTTCGAGGAAAAATATTTCATTGTATTTTGATGTTTCAGATTGAATCGATGATACTCAACAGTGAAAATAATTCTCTGGTTTTGTTTTATTCAAGTCAAATGAGAGAAGATCCGCTCGCAAGAAGATTTATTGAGTAAATTTAGAGAAATAGATTTAATTAATTGTAATTTCTTTCTGGATTTTTCAAGAGATTTGAAAGAAAAACTAACCAATGAAAATTATTATGTCAAAGATGCAAATTGTATTTTAAATTCTCTTACAAAAACCGATCAAGTGATATTTATCTGCGATGGAAGTGAAAATACTGATTTTAATCGATTAATTATTGAATATGTGGAAAATAAAACTCATCAAGTAAAACAAATGATTCTTTTTATTGAAATTGAAATTGTTTATTTCTCTTTAGATCAACACATTTCGTGATGTTTTCATTTTTGTAAATAATTCAATCGAAAGATTTTCCTGTCGTCTTCTTCAAACAATTCCTTTCATAACTTTCGATTTTTCTCCAATAAAATTTCAATTAAACAATGCTGAATTCGACGAATTGCTTTATTATATAAAAAGTAACGAACATTTTTTCTTTAAACGACAAAAAAGGCAACTTTTGTGTACAAACAGATATGAATATTCTCTCGAGAAATTATGCGGATGATTTTCAAGATGTAAATCGTTCGTTAGACGAACGACCATTGGTAAATTTCAAATGAATTTCATTTTCTTTTCAGCTTTTTTTGTTCTATTTAGCAATGTACAAGTGTTGGAGAAGGTTGTGCTGCAGCGTTTTATTTTAATTATCTCAAATTACTTTCACCTTTACCAGGTAAAACTTTGAGGAGAGAAGCAGAAAATTTTCCAATGAAATAATTGAGTTTTAGATCATCGATCTCGTGTTGAATCAATAAAAAAAGATTTTGACGAAGAAATTGTTCATAAAGATCGATGTAAATTTATTTCGAAATGGGTTTTTGTTCTTCCTTGGGCTATTAAAGATACTTTAAAGATATTTCCTAATGCCATGTCGTTAACCGAAGACGAAAGAAATATAATTGGATTTGAACTTAAGATTTGGAAACAATCGTAAGTTGAAATGAGAAGAAACAATCGATTTCGATTATTTTCTTTCAGAAAATTGAATTTAACTGTGACAGTTGGAGGAATTTATCAAAGATCGTATTCACCACTGACAATTTATCGATTAACTCGATTAGATACAGGAGAGGTAAATCAATTGGACAATTTCCTTTGAAAATGATCATTTGTTGTTGTTTTGAAAAATAAGATCGAATGAAAAGATAATTGATTTTGTTTTCATAGACATTTTATTTTCCAATGGAGATTCCTGCGGCTTTACATGGTTTGCAAAATCAATATAATAATCTTCTTTCGCATTTTCATTTTGGAACATTCGATTCTTTGGAACAAGCGATGAAATTTCAAGAGAAAGTCAAGGCATTTTTTGAGAATGATCCGGAGAAAATCTGGCAGAAAAACATTCTGATCGTTCCACTTGAAAAACCTCGTGAAATTCGTGATTCCGATCATTTTCAGTTAACAAGAATTCTATTGAAAACCTTATGGACAAAACTTTCTTCTGCTCTTTAATCTTGAAAAGCAATTCTGAAATTTAATCCAGATAGAAATATCATCGTTCTTCAGTGTTTCTCTTCGAATGATTTCGAGCTTTTCCTCAATTGATTCATTTCATTGGTGTTCAATCATAAAGAATTCCGAAAATCTTTTGTGGATTTGTTTGATTTGAAATAAAAAAAGAGAATAATCTAAATGAATATTTAGGGTGTTTTGTGTTCACCTAATTAGTTTCGAAAGGAGAATCAGATTTCGGTGAACTTTTGTCAGACAATTTCACCTTATCAGGATGTTCTTCACTTCGAAAAGAGTCGTTCATCATTTTCTCAAACACTTTCTACAAAACACATCATTTCTAAGTAGAATTCAAAATTATCTGTGAGGTAATTTATTATGATATTTTATAGGACCAATAAGAGACATTCACATGAAACACTTAGAGGTCGACGACATCTGCAGTTATTCATTATGATTTCTATATTCGTCGATCGTATTGCTTATACAGGTGAAATTATTCAGGTAAAGTAATGAATATGAGGGTGAGGGTGTATTTGTAGAGACGAATATTTGTTTGTCACGATATAATTTGTCCCACAACGAACTGCGTGATGTTTTGGAAGAATATTGTTCGATGTGAACTAAAAACATATCAGATAATGCGAAAATGGATTTGTGTTTGTTTTCTCATTGACATTTCTTGAAACTGAGTCTCGTTCTGATGTTATTATAAAGAATATTTAATGCAGAATAAAAGCTCAGTATCATTGAATTTATTGGAGAACGCACAATACGTCATCCAGCGATGTTGAGAGTGAGAAAGTTCTCAAAGTAAAATTGATGATAAGTCCACTCGCTCATTAGTTTATCACACATCTAATCGAATGAAATTACGAAGTGCACAATCCATTAAAGGAGAAAAACCAAATGCTTTGATCAACTGTCGTAGCAAATGTGTTCATCTTGTTTCAGGTAAATTCTGATAAAGTTAACAAATCAATAATCTCGTTGATCGGTTAAAAATGAAGCGTGATGAATTGTACAACTTCTTGAAATACATTCGAAGTGTTGGTTCGAATTTTGTTACATCAGGGTAAGATATATGATTATTCCATGTTCATCATTTGTATCTTAAAAGATAATTTGTCAAGTTTTCCACAAAAAGACACAAAAAGAGAATTGTTTTTGTACATAGTAGAAAATTGTCTAAGTAAAATGATGTATTGAAAATGAAATTGAATCAATTCAGTTCATTGATAGAAAGATATTCAATGTTTTTTCATAGTAAAAGGCAATAGTATGAAAATAATTTGTTAAGAAGATAATCACAGATGTTACGATGAAACTCATATCTGTTAAAATAGATTGTAAATTCAATCCAGTTGATCCTCTCGATGGAATCCAATGAAGTCATAGACACTGTTAATCTCTTATCATTTGATACGAAATTAAAAGATTTCAATCACATCATAATAAAAGGAAATCTTTATTTTCTTAACAAATGCTGTCAACATTCCATTTTAATAACGAACACCCAATTATTTCATATTCGTTAAAAGATCAAAAACATAAAATTTTCAAACGAAGTAGGTCATATGACTTATTTCTTTTTCATTGAAAATCTATTCAAAAGAAATAGAGCACAATGTCTCATTCGATTGTATCTTTTTTCTCAGTTCGGAATCAAAGGATATACAGAATTCGATAGTTTTTTTGCATTTCGAATTACATTGACAGATATGATTAAAAGATTCAACTTGCAACAATACAGAAATTGACTGGAATGACTCTATTTTCAGTGAAACATATTTACCGGTTATGCAAAATAACATCCTTCATAGAACGAGCGATCCGGAAGTTCACATTACGTTCGCCATTAAACATATACAGTAATTGAATAACATGAGCATTGATTTGTTCGATGAATTTTCGTTATCAATTCGCTTTGATTTCAAAAAAGTACTATTTAATCACAGATAAAATGTGTTTAAAGTACAAAAAATACCGGTGCATAAAATATTTTTCTAGACGAATCACTTTTCATAAAATAGAAAATGCGTAATACGAACAACTCAATGACGAAATAAAAATTTATTTTTGAAACATTTCTTTATCTCGGTCAAGCGTACTTATAACGAGAGAGCCGATATAAAAAAAAAGTTTATCCAGTTGCTGTCTGCGTGCTCTTCCAAATTGGTACATACAACCTCATTATGATCAGCATGCTTTAGAAATAAGTACATTCACCTTTTCTCCATGTTTTACGAAAAATTTTGCAATGACCTTTTGTATTGTTCTCTTGAAAAAACGATTCTTTCATTCACAACATCTTCAAATATAATTTTGCCTTCGTTTTTTCAAATTTCAAATCGATGGCAATTGAAGGAATTCACTCATAGAAAGCCAATCGTTAACATCTCACGAAAGAAAAAAGTCCATTTTTTTGCACTCCCGGTGTGGCCTATCACACCTGTATTTTCTCTTCGTTTGCCCCTCCGCACCTTTAATATGTCTGAATAAGCATGTATAAATACACATAGTTTATGATACAAATGTTCGCAAAACGTTGTGTAAACAAAGGTGTGCATATACGCATAAACATTATTCCTTCGATTAAAGCAAATGGCAAACGATATCGCAAAATCATCATTGGATTCCACGGACACGATGATTGAAATGAAATCGAATCAACAAGATGGATTTTCTGTTCCAAATTTATCCGGTGCACAATTTGAAAAATTATTACATCATATAGGAGGCCCGTCCGTTCCACCTCCTGTTCCAACTGCACTTGGAAACCCGGGTCCACTTGGTCTTGGTGCATTTGCATTAACAACATTTATGCTCTCAGTCTTCAATGCTGGCTCAAATTTAATCGATCCGAAATTAGAAGCCGCGATTTTACCAGTTGCATTGTTCTATGGTGGTGCTGCACAATTTGCAGCAGGTATGTGGGAATTTCGTATTAACAATACATTTGGTGCAACTGCATTTACTAGTTATGGAGCATTTTGGATGTCGTTTGCTGGTTATGTTTATGTTATCGTTCCGACAATCGCTGCGACTGGACACGCAAAACAGGCAACAGGATTATTTTTATTAGCTTGGTTTATTTTTACACTTTATATGAATGTCGCTGCTTATCGAACATCGAGAATTTTGTTTATTCTATTTGCCGTGTTAAATGTCACATTTCTATTGTTGATTATTGGAAATTTAACAGATACACCAGTTGTTGTTAATGTTGGAGGATGGTTTGGTATTGTCACTGCATTTGTCGCTTGGTATGGCTCAGCTGCTGTTGTTATTAATGTCACTTGGCGAAAATCAGTTTTACCTATTGGTGTTTATATTCCATCGCCTGTTAAAGACAGTCACGCCTAGTTTTGACCCTGAAAATTTGTATATTTATTTGTTTCACTTCAATTTGTTTTTTCTTTATAGAAAATAAAACTAGATTTATACAATTGATTGAAAAAAGAATAGAAGATATGCTTGTAAACTGATATACATGTTCGAAAGAAAAAAAACTATCAAACGAATGAAAACAAGTAACTTTAAGTGTTTGATGGAGATTTTTCTACATCTATTTTCTGTACTCGTTCAACTGAAACACCCGATTCCACTCGATTCTTCTGTTTTACAGCTGAATTGTTCAATACATTTGCATTCGTATGTTTCTGTTTATTATCGATTTCTTTGTCGATAGAAACGTGTTCAATACGAACTGGATTTTTCGTTGCACTACTTGGCTTATCCGATAACGGTGATATCGAAACATTCGTCGCCCAGAATTCGTTACTTTTCCCTGAGTTAGTTTTTGGTGTTTCGCTCAGTACGTGAATCACACGTGCTGAACTCGCCGGGCCGACTTTCGGTTTATTTGAGACTGGAGAAACTGATGTTTTCGATGTGGAACTATCGTGTACATCCGAGTTTTGTCTCTCAGACGGTAAGCGATCAACTCGAACTACATTTCGTGACTGGTTTTCAGGTTTATTCGATGCAGAAGATACCGAAATAGTTGTCGGATACACAGTTGGTGGTGCTATAATTGTACGAATAGCGGATGATGGGGAACTATGTAGTTCCTTCGACGATTGGCCTGTCGGGACACGTGTTATTGTGACATTATCCTTTTTTGGATTTGCTGATGAATGAATTGGTTCGTTATTACTCGAATCATTCAACTTTTGATCGACCAAAGGGTCAGATGATCGTTGCAATACGAGGTTATTAATATGCGTAATTCTTACCGCATTCACACTTTGAGGTTTTGAAGCTATTCCATCTTTTGGATCATTTGTCTTGGAGAGTTTCAAAGGTATTAATGATTTGATACGAGATACTTTAATACTTCCAGCGCTTGCACAGTTTTCTGTAGGTAATTTTTCTTTCTCATTACTCGATGGACGAAGAGGTGATTTGATTATATTAATATTTCCACTTCCATTGCTTCGTTCAGTGAGTTTAACTTTTTGAACAGAGACATTCGATATTGGTCGATCTTCCGTCATTGAAAGAAAACTATCAGCTCGAAAATCAACTAATTCTGTTTCATCTGCATCTTCAACTAAACAGTCTTTCGTATTACTCAATGAACTTGATAACGTCGTTCTACTAATTGGACTTTCATTCAGGATTCGATAACGATTATGTTTATCTTCCGAAAGTGTAAAAGCACTCGATGAGATGGAGATATTTGTCCAATAACAATCGGGATCAGTACATAGATCAATGTGATACAATTCATTGTTTCCATCTTCTTTAAATCCATATAAACGATTGCCAAGGACACTAAACGAAACGAACGACAATGAATTTCGTCTTCTTTGCAATTGTCTATGAACATACCAACAATAGCGACAACAACAAAAGCAAATTACAGTCAAAGCAAAAAGACTTAGAACACCAATAATTGTTCCAATTAATGGCCAATTGATTGGATCCGCTGAAATAGCAAAGTGTACTCAAGTTCTTAAATAAAAAAACTAACGTTTTCGGGTTGTCGTTGTAGCTGTTGTGCTTGTTGTTGATGTGCTTGTTGACCTATAGAAATATACGAAGGTAAAGATTGGACACAGATTGAATCCTACGTAGTGCTTGTTGTAGATGTTGTTGAAGTTGTTGATCTACAAAGAATATTTTTCGATGATTAAAATAAGAAATAACGAAGAAAAGTTACGTCGTTGATGTTGTACTTGTTGTTGACCTAAAATATCTCAGCGACTGGTTATGATCATAGACAGAAAAATAATGAGTCTCTTACGTGGTGCTTGATGTGGATGATGTTGATGACGTTGATCTATAAAAAATCAGAATGAATATTCTAAAACATAAAGTCTATCGTGACAAACGTACGTTGTCGCTGAAGTCGTTGATGTGCTTCTAAAAAAGTATAAACACTCATTTTCTATCAATCAATAAAATCAAGTAGAAGAATACGTACGTTGACGACGTACTACTCGTGCTACTCGATGTTGTGCTTGTTGAAGATGTCGAAGTACTACGAAATGATTATTTTCGAATTTATTGAACAAATACTTTTGCATTATTTACTAACGTGGAACTAGTTGTTGATGTTCTATAGATAAATTATAGAATATAAAATGAAGGAAGAAAAACAAACGAAATTCAGACATACGTAGCCGTTGTTGTCGTACTATGATGAGAACAATGATCATTTATATATCGCCAGAAGAAATACTTTATACTCACGTTGTTGTGGTTGATCGACATGGTTCACCGGGACATGAACACACAGGCTTATCTGTTACATAAAACTTGAAACAATACTGTGCTGATTGAGAATTTTTGCTACAAATGAAATATACATATTCATTTTACTTTTTCTGATATTCGAATAAAAACAAAAACCTATCAAATGCCATGGCACACATCACTTGATAACCCAGTTGTGCACTAGTTGGTGTCCATGTCAAGTTCTTATAGTAGAGCGATGAATTCACTTTCACAAGATTCCCTTTAATCATATTCGTAAATGAAAGTGTGGCAATATCTTGAATGACGACAGGCGAAGGACAATAGTTCACTGCAAAGATTTGTGATAGAAAAGTTTGACCCACACCAATGGCGATACACGATTGTTCTTCTGGTATACCAATGATTTCTGGTGGTGTTGGACATGTAGGTGGTGCAACAACATGAACAAGAAACTGAACAGGTACTGAACTCAATGGAGTTGTACTGGATGTGCTCGTGAAATCTTCGACCTACATACCCAACAAATCAATTACTTGACGATAAAGAAACAAAGCTAACCATGACTGCGACCGCATACCAAGCATCCAGAATAGTACCTGTAATGACTATTGTGCAATTGGGATAGATCACCGTACCTGACGGAAGTGAACCCGGTGGACAAACATCTCCACATTCATCAACTCCACCACTCTTCGTCGACCATCGACATCGAAGATCATCACCATCAGCATCACCAACAGGAATCTGAATAACTGTTCGAGTATTTTGAGGAATATTAATAGGAGACATCATCGTAGCTACAGGTGCATTGTTATATAGACCTGTATCTGACCTTTTCTTCAAGTTAATATGTGCAGCTATGGACCAATCGGCAGAAGATGCTGTTTGTAATGGACGCCAAGCAGAGCTTTGAAAAGCGACCCAAAAATCATCGTTTGCAGATAGATAAACAATATCTGTACGCTGTGCAACAGAAGTGTCGACAGAAGTAGAAAAGTCAGTACAACGAGGAAGAACGTTGATACTCGAATAGCCAGCTGAACTCGAACCACAATTGGAAATACAATCCAAGGTTTCCGAAGAAACACCTGCATATGATGGAATGTAACCACTTGAACCTATTAAAGGATTACTACATGACATATAAGAGTATGTCCATGAATATGTTTGAGTAATAGCGACAGCAATGGGAGATCCAGTAGCGGATGCATTCACAGGTTTCCATGTGATTGTTCCACCAAGGAAATGAACCGCACTCAAAAGTGGAAACAAATCCAAATAGATCCAAAGTAATAACAGTTCTTTCATAAGTAAAAATTGTCAATCTTGTTAGGAGAGGAAAAGTTGGATAGCGAAGGAAAACATATCGGCCGAATAGTTAAATATATGTATTGTTTTTGTCGTGTGCAAAGAAGGCAGGGTATGAGTAAGAATGAAAAAGATTTTTTCTAATTCAATCCATTGTTCGACTTAAAGGAATTGTTACTAAGACAATTCATATTCGATTCGCACTCCTTCTACTCATATACATCTATTTCTGAGAGCAAAATCATACAAAAGACGTTTGTTCAATTCCTAGGAGATCTTATGGTAGAATCAGTAAAAAAGAAAACGACATCCTTTTATCGAGTAGGGAGAGATTTTCTGTTCGAAGAATTTGTCAACATGAAATAATTAAATACAAATTGAAAATTCAATTGTTTTCTTTATAGGAAAACTTTGAAAAGAGAATAGAAATTTGATTAGAATGGATTGGAAAGTCTTCACGTATGATCAAAAAGAATCTCATCGTATAATTCGATCCTTGATAATTACAAGATTGAATTTTATTACTTCGCATTTGATCATGTGAATATTTCATCTTTTTCTATTTGCTCTTTATTCACATCAACCAAATGAGTTTCAGGTACTCTTCAGTTATTTCAACGTACGAAGAATCTGATACAAAACAATTTCTTTGTTGACTTTTGTATTTCTTTATGTAACATGCAAACGTATCGCACTTTCAGAACGTCAAAGAGGACAGGTTCCGCCTATTCCTATAAAAAAAAGTTTATCTACGAGTTTAATATTTAAAATCTTGTCCTATCAATTCAATAGAAGTTTTGAGAATGTGTATACGTGATAACATATATCTATGACGAAGTCGATTGTCATTTGGAAATACAATACTTAACACTAATAAGGATAAGTTGAGAAAGAGGAGAAGATGAATAGTTTTCGGTTAAAGATCAAAATACAGGTTTATTAATGATCTATTTTTTGCTCAATTCAGTACGTATTCTAATGAATGTTCGAACTGAACTTTTGTTTTTCTTCTTCTAAAAACATAAGTACCGACAATTAAATAATGATACAACTATTCAAATCTTTATCGCGACCAATTATCATTCATGGGTCACCAACGTTTCTTCTAATACTAAAAAAATATTTGTACGAGAATTCAAATGATTCAAAACAAGATACTACAAACAGCACTTAGATATTCTAATTATATACAACTTTAGAAAATACATTCATGAGATCAGTCATATTCCTACAATAAACACATCCTACAACTCTTTTAACAAATTCAATTATAAATGTAATAAACAATGATAAGAAATTTCAAGAAGAAGATTTAACACATCTTGACAAAACTTTGGACAAATCGATCTTTTAAGGGTTTACTGAACAAAACATAAAACTTGATTCTGAAGCTGTGAATTGACTATCGAAGATTCGCGTTGCTCTGGCTACTTTCTTTTGTTACTGTGCGTTTACTCAAAATAAACTATTGAAACAAGAAATTCTGTGAACAAATGAACATTGAGAAACCTCGATAGAATTCGTTTGTCTTCTCGTATATTTCAAAACAGCAGAGTTTTATCATCGTTTCATTTCTAATCAATATTCAATTATAGACCGAATAAAAAATTTAGTTTTATAAAAATCAATCGTTGACCTAAAACAAAACTAAAAGTTGATTACACGAATATTCTAATCAATACACGAGAAAACTCGAATTGACCAACAACACACCATTTTATTCGACATTGTGAAAATAATTCTCACCAATAGTCACTAGTACTGATATGTATATTTGTGAAAGAACAGTTCGATTTATTACATTGAGCAATATGAAACATTTCGATATTTTCATCTTCTACTTCAAATCCATATAAATGATTTCCAAGTAAACTAAAAACAAACAATTGATTGTAGTGTTATCATCATCATCATCGAAATTACAAACCAACAATAGCGGAAACAGAAAAAACAAAGGACGATTATACCAGCAGAAGTTAAAATCGTAAAAATACTTTCAATCCAAGGCCAATCTTTTTCACTCGCTAAATAAAATTATCACGTTTTAAAAAATTCCCAACGATTCATAAAAAATCTACATATACGTTTTTCTCTCGATGTTGTTGTTGTTGATCTTTACACAAATGGATATAAATATATCGACACGAGAAAACATTAATAACTGAACTTACATTGTATTTGTCATGTACATTGATGAACTAAAAAACGTGTTATTCGATTCAAAAACAATTTAATAAAAAACATACGTTGTTGATGTAATACTCGTTGTATGTCTAAAATACTTTGTTGCGTATTTGAATGTACAAAAATAAAATTATCCTACGTGGTACTTGTTGTTTCGGTCGTCGTAGTTACAGATGTTGTAGATCTACATAAAACAGAATTAATCAGTTAAAGCAATAATTACAGAAGAACCATATACGTCGTTGTTGTTGTTGTTGTTATAGTACTTGTTGTTGATCTGAAAATTAGTTTATTGTTCATCCTCGTTATAAATAGAATAGCATGTTCGAAGAGACATACGTGAATATTGTACTTGTGGCTGATGTACTCGTTGAAGTTGACACAATACTAATAAAAAAATGCCCTTTTTGTGAAAAAAATCTTACACCAGTTTAAGTTTCCTCACCTCGTTGTTGTGGTTCTGAAAAAAACAAATTCTGACATGAAAAACGACGACGAAAAAAAACGATGCAACATACTCCGATGTTGATGTTGAAGTTGTACCTGTTGTTGTTGTTGTTGTTGTAAGGCACGGTTCACCCGGACACGCACATAAAGGATTGTCTGTTACATAAAACTTGAAACAATACTGTGCTGATTGAGAATTTTTGCTACAAATGAAATATTCATATCCATTTTACTTTTTCTGATATTCGAATAAAAACAAAAACCTATCGAATGCCATGGCACACATCACTTGATAACCCAGTTGTGCACTAGTTGGTGTCCATGTCAAGTTCTTATAGTAGAGCGATGAATTCACTTTCACAAGATTCCCTTTAATCATATTCGTAAATGAAAGTGTGGCAATATCTTGAATGACGACAGGCGAAGGACAATAGTTCACTGCAAAGATTTGTGATAGAAAAGTTTGACCCACACCAATGGCGATACACGATTGTTCTTCTGGTATACCAATGATTTCTGGTGGTGTTGGACATGTAGGTGGTGCAACAACATGAACAAGAAACTGAACAGGTACTGAACTCAATGGAGTTGTACTGGATGTGCTCGTGAAATCTTCGACCTACATACCCAACAAATCAATTACTTGACGATAAAGAAACAAAGCTAACCATGACTGCGACCGCATACCAAGCATCCAGAATAGTACCTGTAATGACTATTGTGCAATTGGGATAGATCACCGTACCTGACGGAAGTGAACCCGGTGGACAAACATCTCCACATTCATCAACTCCACCACTCTTCGTCGACCATCGACATCGAAGATCATCACCATCAGCATCACCAACAGGAATCTGAATAACTGTTCGAGTATTTTGAGGAATATTAATAGGAGACATCATCGTAGCTACAGGTGCATTGTTATATAGACCTGTATCTGACCTTTTCGTCAAGTTAATATGTGCAGCTATGGACCAATCGGCAGAAGATGCTGTTTGTAATGGACGCCAAGCAGAGCTTTGAAAAGCGACCCAAAAATCATCGTTCGCAGATAGATAAACAATATCTGTACGTTGTGCAACAGAAGTGTCGACAGAAGTAGAAAAGTCAGTACAACGAGGAAGAACGCTGATACTCGAATAGCCAGCTGAACTCGAACCACAGTTGGAAATACAATCCAAGGTTTCCGAAGAAACACCTGCATATGATGGAATGTAACCACTTGAACCTATTAAAGAATTACTACAGGACATATAAGAGTATGTCCATGAATATGTTTGAGTAATAGCGACAGCAATGGGAGATCCAGTAGCGGATGCATTCACAGGTTTCCATGTAATTGTTCCACCAAGGAAATGAACCGCACGCAAAAGTGGAAACAAATCCAAATAGATCCAAAGTAATAACAGTTCTTTCATAAGTACGTGAATTTGGCTCGTTTTCGGAGAAATGAATACAGGATAAGAACTGTTTCGATTGAATTTCAAATCGAAAAAAAGACCAATGAATTTATATTTGGGTGCTCTTAATAATGTTGGAAATATAATACAAAAACAATTTGTTCTTTTTGATTAAAATTTCTTTGTAAACATATTCTTCAATTTTCTGTTCGATATATGCCGAATGAATAAATCATAAAAAAGATTTTTCAATCCTAAAGAATTTCAAAAAGACTTTCTCACGAACTTGTTGAAATATGGTATTTGAAAGATCGAAATATAGACTTGTAAGAACATAAGTTTATAAGACTTAAAAAAGATTTATCTAAATGAAAGTATTTCATTTTTCCTGGAACACCTTGATTGCCCACAAATCAAAACATTGAGCAAATTGAAAAAGCCTTTGGAAAAGGTTTCTTGTTTTGATTAAAGATTATTGAAACTTCCATTCATATGGCGTGATCAATTTCATAATACAATGACATGAAATTCGACAAAAACTTTCAATATTTAGTTTTGATGAATTTTCAACTATGTGAATTGATGATGATACATCCACTGATTTTCCTCAAAGTATTTTGTACTACAGACCAAATCACTTCAATACATTTACTTCCGATTTTTTTGTAAAACTTGTTTGTATTCATATTGATTCGTCACTCAGGTCACTTTGACTCCAGACGACATTATTTGTCATTGTCAACTCTCGCACATGAATGAAGTCTCTTAGTAGAAAAACGTTCGAAAGTTTATATATGAGACCAAAATAAACCTGTTCGAAGAACATCTTATGCACAATATTCGCCAAAGAAGAAGATAAAGCAAGAAGGACATCTACAGATGACAAATATTTTTACCTTCGCGACGATTTTTGTATCTTTTTAGATTTCCTTTGCAAAGCCTCGAATAAACCAGAAAGTCAACACAGTTCGTATATAAAATAAAAACAAAAAATATTGTAAAAGTAAAGAATTACTCGTCTCATTAGTGATTCAACGATCAAAGATGCGTATAAAAGTAGAAATAAAGATCATTATAACAAGGCGAAAGCGTGATAAATCAATATGAAATAAAACTTTTATTTATCATTACATATCCAATGTGAAAAATTTGAAGAAACTTCGTTCTAAAACTAAAGGTTAAATCGACTTCGAATTATGATCCTGAAGGATTCTTGTTAAACTCTTCTTTTTTTTCTCTCGTAAATCAAAGATCTCCAAATGAAAATAATACATAAACAGAACAATCTTTAAATTCTTCTTGGATTTTTTTGTATCGAAATGAACAAAAATGAAATTTAAGGGGAAAATTTTCAGAGTGTTTTTTCTCTTTGTTCGAACACAAGAGAAAAAAAGTTGGATAGAATGTATGAAATGAGACAAAATGCCGATAATTGATTGTGTTTTAGTAAGGAGAAAACTGATAAGATGATTTGAAGTTGAAATGAATGAAAATATCGTGAAATTGAATTTGATCTGATTGAACTGATCAATCTTTGTTATTAAAATCAAGATAAACAATCGCAATTGAATTTGACAGAGTGAAAATAACATCAAAACGGAATGATTTCAATTGAAACTAAAGTCTTTTGACAGATTTATCTCACATAAATCAATTCCACCTGTTTCATTATGTAATTTTCTCATGAGAACACGATGAAAATCGTTTATTCATGAATCAATCCAACGGGAAATCGGATTTTCTCTGTTCTAATCAAATATATTCTCTTCAACTTAGATCAAATGAGATTATTATTGAAAATCATTCATTGGTAAATGTTTAAACGCGAGAAGAATCATTTAAAAAACTTCTTTATTCTCCATTGAACATCGGTCACAAAAAGACGAAGAAGAAATTTCTTTTCTTTTCTTTTCTTTTCTCTCCTTTCCTTTTCACACTTGTTTGTTACACTGATCGGTCGAACAGTTCAACATATACCTTTGACTTCTTCTCTTCTCTTTTTCTTTCTTTCAATTCAAACTGGACACGCAATTTGAAACGAGAGAAAATGAGTCTAATGATTTTGAACATGTCACAACATTATTCGGAATGTCTTTGTTCGCTGATGTTACTGAATGATTTTGTTTTCTAAAGAACTTTTTGTTTTATCTTCAATTGTTCGGTGATTTAATGAGCAACTTTTGTGTTTTTGTAGGTTAAGCATCAATATTGAGAGAAGGATTTCTTATTGACCTTCGTATGTTTTTTAATGAGAATTTGTATTTTTGTTCGAATTCAATTCGTTATCGTGGTCAATATCAAATGACAAGTAACACTTTGATTTGTGTATATGAATGTCTTTGTTCATGTAATATTTGATTTGATTGATACAATTCGTTCTTTTTACTCAAGGGACAATTCTTCTCACATATGTTTAGAAGATCTCTCGACCTTCCTTTTGTTCTCAATCGTTTCTCTCTCCCTCTCTTCTTTTTCTGTGATATGTTCAAGGTTTAAACTCTCTTTTCATGCCAGTTCACAGATGTGATAATGAGAACAGGTCACAATGTTATTATCTGAAAAAAAGATTACGTCAGAAAAGACCTTCAATGGAGTCACTAATGAATTGTCGAAGAGAAAATCTTAGTTGAGTTTATCGAATAAACGAGAAAGAAATTCTTCTTGTAAAAATCGGATTGTGAAGGATAAGTGTGTTGTTGAGTTGACCATCACACTTTCTTTCATTGAATTCTTATTTGTCTATGTTTCATATTCGTTGTAGAGACGCGTGACAGTCGATCGGTCATTCTTTTCTTTCGAACATAAACATCACGTACAACGAAAAGATGAGAATTGTTTTTGTTGATCATATCTTTACATGTTAACTAAACGAATGTCTTTTGTCTTAAATATCGGTCAACAAGGATGTTTTCTTTGAGCAAGAGAGAGTTCTTGTCTTTGAATTGTTAGGTTAAGTTCATTCTTCTTTTTTTCACCTTCAGAGAGAAGTTTGAATTGAACAGGTTGGATAGAAGTGAAAGTAAATAAATCGTATGAGAAAGAAGAAAAAAAGAATCAGATTACAATAAATGTATGTTCGAGGACGAGATTTATTCGAAAAAAAAAGAAATTGTTCAATTCATTGATCATTTTCAAAATGGAAGATTAACAAGTAAGTTTCGATATCATTTTATTTTAACATAATGAAGATTCGTTTTCTGTTGAATCGAAAAGAAAGGAAACCTTGGAAAATATTTTATGCATATCCATCTGTCATTGAAGAATGTGAAACCATGAATATTTCTCGGTTTCATTTTTCTTTTTTTGTTCAAATATCTCTCTTAATTAGAAGAGGAAAAAAAGCAATCGTCTAGACAAGTCACATTGTCGATGTGTACATTGATTGACCATTCGACAATGTTTATATAATCATTTCTTTTTAGATGATGAAAATGGAAAGTGAACGAATTGAACAAAATCATCAAGATGAAAAAGATGATAGTGGAATTGAACAAGATAATAGTTTCATTTACATTCGAATATCAGTTGAAGATCATAATCTTCAAGTAATTTTCATTTTCTTTCAACACGACAAATTTGAATTTTTGTTTTTTTAGAAAGTGTTAAAGTTCAATTTCGATGATACAGTTTGGAGTGCAAAACAAAAAGTTTTACAAGTTCTTGTTCGAGTAAAGTGTTTCTTCTTATTGAAAAAATCTCGACTTTCTTCTTCTTCTCCTCAAGGAATTGACGGATCCATTGAATTTCGGTTTATATTTACCGCCTTGTAATGGTCGTGCGGGAAAATTTCTTGATGAATCTCGTTGTTTAAGAGAATATCCACTTAATGGACCTGTCAGTTACTTAGAAGTAAGATCTGAACGGGAGAAAGAAGTTTTCCAATGAATTTTTCTAGTTCAAATACAAACGTCGTGTTTATAAATCAATTCATCTCGCTCAAAAGAATATCAATTTGAAAGTTAATCTGAAGAAATTCGTCGAATCAGTGAAAAATAATCAGATTTCGAAAGTATCGAGATATTTGGAGAAAGGTTTCGATCCGAATTTTCACATCTCTGATGATGGTGAGTTGAACAGTGTTTATTTAACAAATAAGACGCGATAGAAATGCTTTAGGCAAAAGACGTCTGATTAAATGTTTGTCTGATTTATCAAACAGATGAGAAATAAAGTTTCTTTTTGATTGATTTTTAGAAACTCCATTGTCTATAGCGTGTGTTGATCTTCTGGAACCTCGATCGATGATATTAACTTTAGTCAATGGTGGTGCACATTTAGATTTTCGTATTCGTAATGGAGGTTTGACATCTCTTCATAAATCTGCGATTTCGAATCGAAAAGAAGCAATTATTGTAAGTCTAAAGTCACTATAAAATAACAAGAAAATCATCTTTGTTTTTAAAGACTTTACTCGAACTTGGTGCATCTCCGAATGTTTATGATGAAAAGAATTTAACTCCTTTATATTACACAATCTTAAACAAACAACCTGAAACGAATAATGATTCGTCATATTGTTGTTTATTGTTATTACAAGATCATTCGATATTAAATTGTCGCGATGATAATTCTTCGACAGAATTGCATCAAGCTTGTCGACTTGGACTTATTCAACATGTTGAACATTTACTTTTCTTTCGTGCGGATATCAATGCAATGAATCATGGAGGAAATACTCCTTTACATATCTGTGCAGCGACCAATCAGGTATTTGACTCATCAGATTTCATAGATAAATAACAAAGATGAGTTCGTTCTCTTTCGAAATCATTGGGCGTTCGTTTCGTCTTTTCTTGTTTTTGTCAAATATTGTTTAAGGATTATCGATCTTTTTTCTTCGTGTAGAACTAAGAATCGATGATAAATTAGGAAGAGTTGAATACTTAGTTGTGTGTGTATTTGTTCGATTCGTGATAGGCGGAGGGGAGAGAGAGAGAAAATACGAAACATTTTTGCGATTTTTATGCAATGAAAATGTCCGAAAAGAGTAACTAAATTGATATTATCTGTTTATTTTCAGGAAGTTTGTGCTCGTATTCTTCTCTATCGTGGTGCAGATACAACTATTGTGAATAAATCGAATCAAACACCTTATGAACTTGCATTGATCTCTGAAAATCATTCGATTGCATTATTAATTCAATCACATAAATCGGAAAACGTTGTTCCATTCTGTGAAATACCTTTAATTAATCCAAAACGTCGTTCAATTTATCTTGAACATCAACGAAATAAACATCGAACCCGTTCTTCATCAAATACAACACCATCATCATCTTCTTTAGCTAGTCGATCGCAAAGTATGCCGAAATTCTCAGCGAATAATTCGACAATACGACAAAGTCAATCACCAACTATTGAACATTATTTTCAACAACAAAATCCATCGAGCCGATCGTCATCACCGAAATCTTTCAGTGATCAAGGTTTAGGAAGCGAATGTACTTCACATTTCTCATCGAGTAAGATTTGTTTTTTAATGAGAATAAGAAGTTTTTTTCTAAGAAGAATTTTCAAGATTCACCGAATGTAACAAATGGAGATTATACGTATAAGAGGAAAAGATTGTACGCGGCTTCGCCTGGAAGAAAATGTATGTGTATTAAATCCTATCGGACAAATTTACCGGGAGAATTATTAATGAATAAAGGAGATATTGTTGAAAGTATGAAGAATCGTAAATTTTGGAAAAAGAATATTTTAAGAATTTGTCATTGTTTAGTTTTAAGTGTAGGAGAAAATGGATTTCTCGAAGGTAAATGCAAAGATTTAGAAGGATGGTTTCCAAGTCATCATGTACAAGATATTTCAATTTTTAGTAAATATTATTAAATATTTCGTGAATTGATTCGACTTGATTAAATTGTTGTTTAGAAACTGGTGAAGTGATTCATAATGATCAAATTGTTATTAGTCGTGATACTTTATCAGCTTTAATGATCAATAGTGATAGTTACAGTCCACGAACAATTGTTTTACAAAGAGGAAAGAAAGGCTTTGGATTTGTTTTACGTGGATCTCGAGGTAAAGAATGAGATTTTTGATGATAAAGATCCATCTTTTGGGAAATTTATTTAGTCGCTGGAAAATTATTTCAACCAACTCCATCATTTCCTGCTTTACAATTTCTTGATAGTATCGAAAAAGGAAGTAATGCCGATAAAGCTGGTCTAAAACAAAATGACTATGTTCTCGAAGTAAACGAAAATTGATTTTTTCGTTGACAAAATGAATATTTTTGTCTTTGATAAAGATCAATGATATCAATGTTATTTCAATGCCTCATGAAGAATGTGTAAATTTAATTAAACGAGCAGGTGATACATTAGCTTTGAAAGTCATAACCGCGAATCCAATTCCGCTCGTTCATTCTCATTATCAACACATTGAATCACATTTTCATCAACAACAAGTCGCTTCTCAATCATTACCACATCGACGAAAAGGTAATGAAACAATATCGTTTGTTTCGAAAAGAAGAAAAACTCTTTCCTTTTCTTTCCTTTCAGCACCACTTCGACCAGGCCTTGAACAACAATTCACTGGTACGTTAATTATCTTTTCGTCAAACATTGCAAAGCATGTTTCTCTTTGTGATCAGTATCTTCATCATCAGCATCGAAAATATCACCTTTTCATTGTTTACTTAATTCTTCTCAATCGGGATCTCTGATGTTAAAGAGAAAAGAGCAACAGAAGATCTTAGGTATTTCATAGATATTCAAAAACATTTTCTGCATGCCATTCTCTTCTTCACTTGAAAATCAACGAACAGGCGCGTATGCATGTCACATCTCATCCTTTGCATGTGTGTGTTTTTTGTTATCCGAGAAATTGACTAATTCAAAATCTTTCGATTCAATTAACGATGTTCAAGGACGAAAAGTGAACACAACTTCGAGATGAAATTGTTAAATAATCATTTAAACTTTGCTCAGTAACATATCTTCTCTCTCTTTTTAATCCTCTTCACATTTTTTTTGATCGAAAGAGAAGAGAAAACGTTACATAAAATCTTCATTTAAATCAAAGATGAATTGTTTCATTTAGAAGATCTTGATCGAACATTGAATGAATATGAATACGGAACGATCAATGTTTCTTCAGTCGAAACTCGCGAAGATTATTTAACAATGTCGAAATCAATCAATGAAAATTCACCAAAGTAAAAAAAAACACATTTTTGAATTGTTTTTCGAAAGATAAATTTGTTTATTTTTAGAATCAAACCTTTAGTTCCTGAACGTGATTCTTCACTTTATGAAACGTTTCCTTCTTCTCGAACATTAAATCGTCAATCTCCGTCATCACCAAACGTTCGTTGTAATTCGAATTCATCATCAAATGAAGCCGATGAAGAATCTTCATTGTCTTCATTGAACAGTACTCATCATCCATCGAAAACTGATGAATCGAATTCGAATATCTATATGAGTCCATCTACAACAAACATGTCAACATTCAAAATAACAAATTCGAAACCAAGTGAAGTGAAAAAACGATCGAATAATCGAAAACAAACCTATGCAACATTGAATTCCAATAATAATAATAATAATAATTCTGGCAATCTTTCTGAGAATGAAATTCTTTCTATTCCACCACCTCCTCCATTACCAGAGAATTTCGATTTACCGAAGAAAACTGAAACGGCAATTCCTTTAATAAAATCTTCCTCTGATTTTCAAAATCAACTCGAAGAAGCGAAGATTCGTTTAAACAAATGTTCCTCCCCGAAGAAAACAACAATGAAATCCTCCTCAAGTAAGTCAACATCGTCAAAGGATTACGTGTAAAAATGTTATTTACCAAAATGTAAATTTAGACGATTCACCTAAGACTTCTTCATTTCATCCAAATGAATTCAAAAATATTATCATTGAAGATTTATCTCCTTCGAATGCATTTCCACCTCCACCATCTCCAACGACACTTCAACGTTCAATTGCATCGTTAACTCCACCCTCGACTTCATCCGTAGTGGATCCGAGATTAGATGTGAATTTTTCAGCTGTTATCGCTCAACGAGCGGCAGAAGCTAAAGCGCGTCGATGTGAAAATCCAATTGGATTTGAGTTTAAATCGAATGGTTTACCACCATCAACCACGTTTTTCAACAACTGCGTGACAACAAATGGTGTTCCAAAGAATTTCTCAACGAATGGTAAGTAAACGATGAAAAACGAATCTCAACAGAATTTCATATCGATGTTTCCAGTTAATTATCATCATCGTTATCGAAATTAAATCAGTTTTTATGTAAGATGAATGATATATTTTGGGTCTTAGTCATTTCTTTCGTATCGCATGATTGACAAAGAAAAAAGAAGAACGAGATTATTCATGTTTTTTGTTTTCTCTTCTGCATGATGATAGTCGTTGTTTTAGTTCATGTTGTGTTGTATCCTTCTTCATGTTTAGTTTAGACAAATGAATATCTATTCTCCTAGACATTCCTGGGTTCTATAGGAAAGAGAATGGAATTTTTCAAGAAAATGTCAATGTCTCGAAGAAAATGAAGTTGATCATTTGTTCGATTGTTTAGATGCTGTGCGTCCACAACGTTTTAGTACAGCAGCTCATCAATTACTTGAAAATTTGAAGCGTCGTGGTGGAAGTACAAATTCATCAACGATTGGATCTTTTGTAAAACAATGTAATGAACAAACATCGACATAATCTCATCATAAGAGAAGAAATTCTTCTCTTATTTTCTTGTTTTTATCAACTTTCGATGTTTGTTCAGTGATATATCACAGTCGAAATTTCTGTTCAATGTCTTTGCTTTTGCTTTCTTCGTCGAAATCTTCTCTCATTTCGTTTTGCATTCGTACTTCTTTTTCAACCATTGTGACACATTCCGTGCGTTTATATCGATTACTTATTCTAATACACAAAGATTTCTATATAATTAATCAAATTTATTTCATCTTGTTGTGCAAAAAAAGCCCAGCTCAGATGCTTTGTCTCATGTGATTGTTAATCCTTCATCTTGTGACCTTTATATGCCATTAGGCAAAAGACGAGCAAAGGTAATGTTTTGCATCGCTGTTAGACAGCTTTTACTTTATTTTTTACACAATATCAAAGCACAAAATACAACATCAAAATGGATTTTGTAGGTGAATTACTGTGAGGATTTTTGCAAAGGTTTGACAATATTACTCGATGTTTTTCGAGGTGTCACGTTTTTCCAAATCCATTTGATAAATTCTGGAAATAATCCCAAACAAATCCAAGGAATAAATAAACAAATCATATAGGTTAAATAAAAGATATATTCAACTTGAATATCTAAAAGAAATGTTGGTGAAACTAAATATTGAATTGCTGCGACAATTATTCCTGGAAACCAAGCGATCATATAAAGACACGACACACTCAATAATTGTATTGTCATTCGTCGTTGTTTCTTCCAAGAAACTGATCCATGTCGACGAAGTCTTTGTCGAACTACTCGAATAATCAAAGATACATCTGCAAGAGTGATGACAATGATTGGAAAACCATTATTAAATACCCAATCAAATGTTGCTAAAGATTTTTCATAAACCATATAACAATTTGCCAATCCGCAGATATTCGCATAGAAATTCCATTGAGTTCCATCGCAAGTATCAAATAAAATGATAATTATGTAAAAAATCATTGGATAAATAATACAAATGAGAAGTGGCAAATGATGAAAAACATATCGATTTAATCGATTATTGAAGAGATTTGCATGAAAGATAAGAATATGTCGTTGAATGGATATTGTTGCCATTAACATTTCATTGGTACCATTGAGAGAATATTCAAGAAATGTCCACCATTTACAATAAGCATTTGTTGCTGGACTTATATAACCAAGACGATTGAAATGAATAACCATTGGTAAATCGAATGTTACTTGAATAAAATTGACAATTAATAGAACAAGTAAAGCTTGATTTTGACGAATATAAAAAATGGATTGATGAGTAAAGAAATAAAGAAAAATGAGTAATGAAATGATAATTGACGGAATTTGTAAAGTTAAGAGAATTGCAAATTTAATTCGATGTGAAAGATATTGTGTTTCAACATTTGTACTTAATGTCGAATTCTCCATATTGTCAACAGTCGAAATGAAATATGTTTTCCAATGAAGAAAATCTATTGTAATATGATGTTATATCAATGAAATGATTATGTTTTAAATAGTCGAATGATCACTACTCGAAGCGACATAATGTTTGAAAAGTAAATCGAGGTTCTTTCCAAGGAACTGAATATGTTATTAAAGAGATGAATGACGTGTCTTTAAATAAATATAGGACAGACAGTGGAATTTGATTCACCCGATTAGTAACAAAAGCACATGATTTCTATGTTAAGATAAAGAAAGAAGTCAGTTCAACCTGGTCTATATTTAATGAACTTTGATTTTATTAGATAAAAGAAGGAATACAAAGTTCTTTTTCTTATTTCTTATAGAATGACACAACAAGGTGCAAAACACGCTGCTTTTTCTCCAAAACATCCACAACAATTGTAAGGATAATCATTTTCATAAATGGAATTCTCTCGTTTTTGTCCTGGATATTGACAAAAACGAAAGACATGATCTAGAAAAGTCATCTGAATAGAAAAAGAAATTTTAATCTGTGTGAATTCTTACTCATTGTTGGATATCGTTTGTTGACAAAATGTTCTCCCATAATATAATGAACTTCTTGAAAATTCATTTGTTCAATTGAAAATTCGAGTCGTCGCATAACATTATCGAGATTCATTGTTGGATTTAATTGTTTTTCATAATAATCTCGAATGATATTTTCTCTTAAAGGAATATCTGGAGTATTCTCAGGAATATTCTGCATACATTCTTCAATAGATGATACTTTTGACCATTCAATTCTATTGATTAACCAAATAGGAGTTCGTTGTCCTTTGCGAATTTTTCTTTCGGCTAAAAACGAATTTTGATAAAAACATATCGTATGTCGAGTAAACCATTTCACAGTCAATGTTGGAACATGACGAAATCCTCCTAAGCCATTACAACTTCCACAAGTCATCTTACCAGAACCTCGACAATTATTACAACGTACTTTTGTATTACTAAAACCAACTATTCGATTCGATCGAATTCTCAATTGAACAAAGAAATCTTACTATGCATCATTGAGTCTTACTTTTCCATCGCCTTCACATTTGCTGCATAAAACAACACAAGTTGCTCTACATCGTCGACATCTTGAATACGATGTACTTTCCGACAATGCAAAAGTTTCTTTATGTTTATCAGCAGATGGTATTGGAACAGAATAATCAGTCCAAATGTTTCCAACAGCTTCACCTTCAATCTCCGTATTCTCAAAAAATCGACCTAAACCGAACTTATTTTGTCGAATTCGATCTATCGAACTTACCCAACGATCGACTTCCCAAAACTTTTTCAGATTTCCACGGATAAGGTTGAGTTACCAGACGTAATTTTCTTGTTTCGAAGAGTATTTTCATCGAACATTGGTAAGCAGTCTTCGGTTCAACTTTTATAATCGCTGCATCATCAATAGGTCCCGAATGATAACAAAATTTCGAATCAACATACGTTTTTAGATCAACGAGCAACTTTGGTAATTCTCTTGGCTTGAGAAAATCATCACCGTCATCATCTTCTGACCCATTGTTTACTTTCGATAATTCATTTACATCAAGAACAACTTCTCGACGATCGTCAGACATGTCGAATTTTCACTCAATATCAACTATTGGAGTAAAACATCGTTAAAAAAACGTTTCTTATGTAGTTTTCTGCGAAAAGAACCTTTTCTTCTTTGATAACAAGAATGATGATGATAAGACATCTGTTATCATTCACTGTTTTACATAACAAATTCCTACATTTTCATATCATCATCATCGTGTCTGGATGATAGACATAAGATTTGAAAGAAAACAATTTTCTTTATTAAGTATTATTAGTCCTTGTTCGAATCGGAACAATCTGAATTCTTTGTCTTTTCCAAAATAATAATTTCGACCAAATCTCCGGGAGTAAACTAAGACAAACAAACGGCATAAGAATATTGAGAAATCGTACCATAAAATTCAGATAATTGACTTGAATCGCAGCAGCAAATGTTGATAAACAACAATTTTGTACAATACTCACAAGAGTCGTTGGTAAAGTTAAAACAAGAAAAAGAATCGCAATTGACATTAATTGAAGAATCATCTGACGACATTTTCGCCATCGAAAGAGATTTTGTTGAACTTGTCGTTTCTGGAGAATGACACGAAGAAGTAAACTAATTGTAAAAGTAACGACAACGAATGTTGGAAGAAAGTTATGTGCGATTCGAGCATAGAGAGCGAGAGATGGAACTTTTAATGCACATGGATATGCACAGAATAATGCGAACATGTTAAAGTGATTTTCACATGGATAAACAAATGTTATGAAGAAATTAAAGAGAATTGGATAAAGAAATGCGAAGAGAAAAAGTGGAAAATAATGAAAGAGAAGTCGATGGAAACGATGAGTGAATATTTGAGAATGAAATATGAAAATATGACGTTCGATTGAAGCCCAGGACATTGTTAAATATGTTGAAATTGTTAAAGTTGAATTGATAAAATTCCAGAAAAGACATAAAATATTTGTTGATGGTTGAACATGACCTGTACGAAGGTAATTCAAAGTAAATGGATGATTAAAACATAAATCAAATAGAGAAATGAGTAATAAAATTAATGGAACATGATTATGAAGAGTTGAACGAAGATTTGAATTCGATAATAAATGAAATAAGGTGAATATACAAAAAATTATTGAGAAAATATAAGAAATTTGTAATGAAATATATTTGATTTCATTGATTAAATCCATTGAACGGAGAATAGGAAATGTTATTATTTTGAGTACAAACTTCGAAATGAGACACTTCTACGTAGTGTTGATATCAAAGATTTGCTTTCTCTTCATTAAAATCTAATGATTATCTCTCGAAACGACATAATATAATCAAAGATGAGATTTTCTACTCATGTATTCATGTCTTCGAAAACATAAATATAAACCTGAAGAAATCATTGTGTTGGATGACTCAATCTGTTCTATTTTTGTAAATTATTTCCACAGATTGATCGACAAAGTGAGTTGAATGAACATCATCCATTGGTAAACTTACAATAAAATTCATATGAGATTAATAAATCATGTAAAACTTTGTTTCAATATCTATTCATGAAGTCTTCTATGATATTCATTAAAAATGAATACTATGACAAAGTTCATCATGTTTCATAGATTTTATTTTTGAATGAATTCAATTCTCGTGTCAACGAATAAAGTCTGAGTGTATCTTTCGGAAGTTGTTGACAAAAAAAGAACAGTCAAAACTATGGAGATGTTTCATTGGTCTCTACTGGATAAATCATATTATTACATTGATCAATAAGATTCTTTGTTTTTTGAATAATTGAATGAGATTTTGGATAAATTTTCTCTTGTAAATATAATGCAGATTTTAAACGATCTGCAGCTATTTCATATTCACATTGATAATTCATAAGATGAACAGCAACAAGTATGAGACATTGAATTGTTTTTTCATAATGTAAATGAGTATTTTTTTGAAGTATATTCAATGCTTCTTCATAAAGTTTCAATCGTAATGAAATCTTATTTTGATCATCATCATAAAGTTCGCCTTGTTTTATTTTAAAATATGCAACACTTGAATAATCACGAGTCAAATGAGTTTCATAGATCATAATTTGTTCGTTACACATCGATTCCGCTTTGTTGATATCCATTTGTCGACGATAACATTCAATTAAAGCTAAAGTTGAATGTACTCGACGTAGATCACCAATTAATAATGTTTTTTTACTTGATTCCAATGCTTCTTTATAAAATTGAGTTGCCGCTGAATATTCTTGTTGAGCCAAATGCAAATCACCCGCAATTCCTTTGTAATGTAAAATCGCTGATTCCGGTGTTGATTGAGTTTTGATGAGAATCTCGAACGCTTGACAACGTAATTTAAGTGCAGTTTTATAATTTTCCATAAGAATGTGAATAGAAGCTTGATTTAATTTGATAGTTGCAATACTGATTGGATGAATTCCATGACATTTCAATGCTTTTTCATAATAGCTAAGTGCTTTGGGATAATTTTGAATCGCTTTGTAATAATTGGCAAGTCCGTTGAAAGTCGTTTCAAAAACAGGATGTGTAATAGGATGACTTTTTTGTTTGAGATTTCGAGCAAAATTGAGACAAATATATGCAGCACGCCAATTGGTTGTTTGTAAATGAAGATGACCGAGATGATCGTGAACAGAAGCGATGTATTTGTGATTTTTTGGTAAAATATGTGACATCATTTGAAAATACGATTCCGCTTTGTCATGTTGATTTAAATCGATTAATAAACGACCAAAATAGATTTCAATATTTTCATTTCGTAATTTTGTTGGATCAAAACATTTATGAGTTTCATCTATTTTTGTATTTGTTGTTCTCATTCTGATACGTGTTAATGAATTCTTCTTCTCATCAAATGGAGAAGTATTTATTTCATCTTTTACATTGATAATTTCGAATGTTGAACCAATATTGAACAGAATTTCATGTTCTCCATGTTTTGAATAATCGTGAATATCAGCAAAGATACAACTATTTCGACTAAATGGTTCGACTTCGATTTCGAAAAGAACAACTCGGAATTCTTCGGTATTTTCTGCAGATATGATGAAATTGAGTGCAACGTTGATTAATTTCGACGTCGAAAGAAATCCATTCGTGGAAATTAATCCACCTTTATTATCTCTTATTTTCGAAAGTTCACTAACAGGTAAATGAGATTGGCCACGATAGACGAGAAAACGTTCGGAAATATTTTGTTTTTCTTGTAATTTTTTCAATTCATTTGAAAGATCGAGACAATAAAAACGAAATAAATACCATAAAGACATATCTTCAGTACGAAATGCTCGATTAATCAATCGATAGACAAAACTATCTCGAGTATACCATTCAATTGCTTTCGACGGAGTGTAAGTTCGTTGAAATTCTTCAATACGTTGTAATTCACTTCGATTTCCACGATAAAAGTCACGACATTTGTTAATCATAATCTGTATTTCCATTTCATGATTTTTGATCTTTTTCTTTGATCGTTTTGCAGAGAGAAGATCGACAAACAACGGATAGGAGAAATAAGAATTATCCTCAATTGTCATTGGAGATGACGTTAACATTCTCGTTGAGATCAACTTCTGAGCTGGAAAAAGATTAAATCGTAAAGATGGAAGAACACGAAGAATACTTTGTTTTAAACTTTCATGATCAGTACAAACATCAACTACATTAAACCATCGATTGGTATCCGCAAGTAATTTGTATTTATTATAATCTTGACAAAAGATAATCACAGATGGAAGTCTTTCATCGATATGTTGAAATGAAGATGAAACGGTTTTGTTTAAAATGTCTTTAGCAAATTGACCGGATAGAATTAAGAGAGTTTTTAACTGTTGAGTATCGGATGTTTGAATTGCATTGATGAATTTGTCTTTATCGTCAAAAAATGAACATTGATCATTGTTTATACTTTTTAAAAGCATTTTTGTTCGAATCGAATCACTTTTATTGTCGTTTGCATTTTGATCCAACCAAATGATTTTATAATGTTCATTTCGTATATCTTTTTCTGAAATACTTCGTCTCAATGAACTTTCAGTACTCACTGGTTGCTTCTTACGAAAAACAGACAGTATTTTCGACATCATATAATGAACTGAGATTAATCACCTATGAAAGATTATCGATTCAATGAATATTTTTAAAATGGTGTTACTTACTTTTATATCAAGTGGAAATTTACACAAAGAAAACAAAAAAAATCTTTCCAACATGGGACAAAGATAAAGATTATTGGGAGAAATCTTACTTTGATATCGATGCCGAGTAGGATTTCGCGTGAAATGAGAGACTCTTTCCCCATGGGAAGATTTTTTCGATTTATTTTATCTTACGAACAAATATAATGTAGAGTTTCTTCTTCCCATATGATTTGTTCTCTTTATGTTGTTTCGACAATTGTTAATCTTCATATATTTCTCATAGTTTGAGGAAATTACATTCGTAGGTCATTTATCAGTCTTAGTTTTCTGAGTTCTTTGTAAAATTATAATTGTATTTTTATAAACATTTCATTTCCCTTTCAATAATGATTTCACTTTTTAGTTTTGTGTAATGGAAGGTGGTCCAACACTGTATTTTGTTCTCAATTCGCCGATGTATTTCGCTACTTATTCGCGAAAGTTGACGTTAAGAATGTTTCTTTATTTCCATGCAAAACTCATTACACTGACATTTCTTCTGATATTGGCGATTATAGGAGGATTAATGTTTATGTTTGGAGTATTTGGTAAGTTTTAGAAATTGTTAATAGAGAAAGTGATCATTTCTCATCATCTCATTCTTAGATAAGATGTATATCATTGCATTATTGTAGAGAATATCTAAAAAACGAAATCATTTGTGCTTCTAATGTTACTTTATTTTTACATTTTTATTATCGAAAAAGAGTTTCTTAATGTGAAATGAGTTTTGTTTTCAGTTTGCATATTCGACTTTACAAGATATTTACAATTCGATTCTACACTAATCTTTGTCTGATTTCTTCATTTAAAGGGGAGAAAACTACAACAGTCGATGTTTATCATCAAGACACGGATCTGATTATTCGCCGTTGTCCAAAGTTGAAGATTAATTCGGCTATTTACCAATCAAATTTCTACAATCCGGCAGAGTGTCAAAAAGACGTTACTTCTCGTGTACAACAACTATGCGAGAATAAAACGAACGATCAATGTAGCTTTACTGTAACCAATGAGATGTTTCAGAGTGAAAGATGTTTAAAACGTTACTCAAAACAATTGGTCGTCAATTATACATGCAGTAAGATAATATTGATAAAACTCTCTTTACTTCTCATAAAAGATTTTCTCTTCCTGCTTATTTTCTGAATATTTAAAGTTATATTTTGAAATCTCTTTTATAGCTCTCTTCGACAAATATCTGTAATATGTATTTTTGATACATGGTAAACTAAAACGAACTTTTCGAATATACAATCGACACATGATGTATACGATACTACGTGTTCTTTTTCACCTTTAGAGTATCGAACGAGAAATAACAGACGAAGATGCACACTTTGTGCAACATCAAGTCATACTCGAAGCTGCCAGAGTTGTACGGGTGTGGAAAAGTATGAAAACGAGCAGAAATGTAGTATATCATGCGAGTGTCGAACGATAGGTGGGGATTTTCAAACAAGCAATGCTACATGGTACAATAACTGTGAGTTATGGAATAGCAATGGTGAATTAAAGTGTGCATCTGACTTGAAAGATCGATGTCCTGACAAGACAATAATGCACAACATGAGTATGTCGCATCTATGATTTGAACATTGTTAAGATATATAGAACATTGACTACTCGAGAGACTCGATTTATGGTTGAATCGATACATGGAGGGAGAATAATATTATTGAAAAAATTGTATGTTTCAATCTTAATGGTTCAGAGAGGCCATGAATGACATCGACACATATCGTCTATTGATTACTTCAAATTTTGATAAATGGATTGGGCTTACACGATGCATCCTTTTATACTGAAGTCTTAATTATTTATTCGCATTAGAGAACGAATACTCTGGAAGGAAACTAACTGATCGAAATCTTTTTTCGTTCTACAGACAAAATTTAGAGCTTAGATAAAATAGTTCTATACAGCATATATAAAGTGGTGGAAAGTTTAGAACTTTCGCTGAAACTCAGTGTTTCCCTATGATACAATTCTCTCAGTAAATGCGTCATGATAGTATACTATACGCTTATACGTATATAAATCTACTGGTTATGTGTGAAGTGCGACATAACTCGATTAATTATATCAAATACATACGAAATCCTTTGTTCATATCTTTTCTAATAGATTTTATAAACAATTGTACGTGTAACGGTGTTTTATTGTTAGATGGATTTGATTATCCAGGTAGAGATATCTACGAAATTGGAAATATATCCCTACAACAGTGTTTTGATAATTGTACAAAAACATCAAACTGTATTGGCTTTGCATTTGACCCCTTTGGTTCACAATGCTGGACAAAATGGAAGTTGGAAAACTTGCGGTACCCTACAGATTATATAAGAACCACTGGTATCGTCATTGAAAGACTTGGTAAGTTATTTTATCTTCTCTATGCTAAGAAAATTGTCCTATGTTTGGAAGATAAAGCTCTGAGAGTTATATCTGTATCGGTGTAGGTCGAAAAGAGAATCTCGTGGAACTGAAATAGAACTGAAAATTGTCGTTTCCTGACGTTTAACCAGATATTTCAAAATTTAACGCTCGTGTGTTTTGATACGATGAAGTGTGAAAATAACTTTTAGTTATTTTACCACTTTTTTAGGTTTCGATATGATCAGGAATAATTCAAATGGTGATATTCCAACTCAGCAATCATCTCGTTCAATAAAGACAGTCTATATTAAAGAAGGTGAAGAATATCATGGTCAAGTTAATGCATCTGGCTCACTCGTCGGATATGGTTTATATTTGTGGAAGAATGGTGATATGTATTTGGGCCAATTTACAAGTGGTGTTCAGACTGGAAGGGGTACAATGGTTTACAATGATAAAAACAAATATGTTGGAGACTTTGTAGATGGCGATCGACATGGCAATGGTACGATGATTTGGGCGAACAATGATAAATATGATGGAAATTGGGTGAATGGAAATATTGAAGGCAATGGCACAAAAATCTGGTCGAATGGTGATGAGTATGAAGGGCAATGGGAAGATGATATGCGAAATGGATATGGCGTCTTTAAAGAATCAAATGGTGATACATACCGAGGAAATTGGGTAAATGATCGTAAACAAGGCAGAGGAACAATGACATATTCCAATGGGAGCATTTTAGAAACAACTTGGGCAGCTGACGATCCATATCCGATGTCTCACTAAGACTATCTAGATTTTCATGGACTGTCTTTCTTGTAATAAATAATCAAGAATAATAAAGTTAACATTCTATAACATTTATTTTGGCGTTCGACTTATTTAGCATAGAAATTAACCACCATTTAAACAATCCTATTTTGTAGCCAATTGACGCGGTATACTCTCCTCCAGTTTGGACATACGGAGAAGAGAAGTGAAATTATTAGTAAAATGAATGTAATTATTAAAACAAATATACAAGACTAAAAGTATTATGTTCGCTATCGACAGAACATGTCGATTTCTAGTCGTGATGTTCATTCTGATCGAAAATATTCTACTTATAAAGCGTCAAGTAAAGCAATAACTATTTCGACTAACCAAACATTCAGCGGTCATTTTCATACGTTTGACAATGTATATTTGTGACTTTGAACTGTTGAGAGTTTCAATTCGTACAGATTTTCCCTCTCTTCACATTTGAAATATAGAAAAAATGTGCTCATTATTTATTTTCTTATAAAAATCGAATAAATGGTGGAGCAGGTAAATTTGAATCTGCTGTACTATAAACAGCTGCTTGTTTAAAAAGACAAGGTGTTTCTCTCCATAAATATCGAACAGCATGAATTGATTTCGACTGACATATTGTTGGTATAAGAAGTTTAACAGTAATCGGTGAAAATGGATCATAAATAGGTGTTACTGATAACCAATTGGTTTCATTTAACATACATATTTGTTGATCTTCACAACATATCTAAATCAAAGATTTCTTTCTCATTGAAAATTTCAAAAAGACATTTACTTCAAATCCATTTGAATTTCGTAGTTCAATTGATGATGAAAATGTACTTAAATATGTAACATTCATTCGATCGAAACTATCTCGTACAACTTCATTTGGAATTGGTCCTTGATAAGCAACATTTGTTTGTTTATAAACCATAGCAAGACCAGACCGAGAAAGACGATAACCAACATCAAGTTTTGTTCGAGGATGAACACTTTTTGTGATAAAAGAAAATCTCGTCATATTCAGATTATTTTTCATCTCACCCTCCTTGATCATCACGTAAATCGATTGTTGTTGCCATAAATACATTTTCAGTTGCATTATTTGGTGTAAAACCAAAATCAAATGTTTGATGCCATCGAATCCATGGAAATCCACCAATAATCTTTCCTGTTGATTCTCCTGTTGATAACTAAAGAAAAGAAAATTCTTTTTAAAAAATTCATTGAAAAGAAATACTTGAACAAAACCAAATGGAAATTGTGAATCTATGAGAGAATTTGTACGTTGTTGCCATGTAAATCTCCAATATTGAATCATTTTCCGAAATGTACATTGATATTTGTCTCGATTATAATTCACATTTGCTTCTCCTTGATACCAAATCACTCCTTTGATTATCAGTCGTGTTAATGGATAAATCATCGCATTATAAATAACAGAATTATTCAATTTGACTTCATCTTCCTTTCTGAAATTTCAAAATTCTCAATCATTCAATCACATTCATCAAATTTACATTAACATATGACAATCTTTGAAAACTTCAGGTGGTGACCATAATTCAATTGATGATTCACTCCAAGATGTATGAATAAGACCAATTGGTCTATGATCATCTAATTCTACATGAACCATTCGACCATAAATCCAACATACAGCTGCGTGGCACGATATTTCCGCGCGTGACATTACCGCGCCGACAGTACCGCGCCGACAGTACCGCGCACGACAGTACCGCGCACGACACCACCGCGCACGACACCACCGCGTATTGACACTACCGCGCATTGACATTATCGCGCACGACACTACAGCGCATTGACACTACCGCGCATTTTTTTACAGTAAGAATTTTCGATCAAATAGATAAATACATCTGCAAAAAATTATTTACCGTCCAATACTTCTGATGAATTATCTTTAATACGAACGAATTCTTCAATAACATTTTGCGATGGAATAAATGCAAGAGCAGCTAAATTCTTCATTGTTCGACGACTAGCATCATTTTCAAGGAACTCTTTTTTCAAATGTAATTCCTGCAAAAAGATCAAAACATTTATTAAATGTAAGAAAAACTTATATGACTCATTATGAACCAAATAAACTTACACAAATATGTCTCCAGATACATTGTTTGAAGTGAAAAAAACACCCAAATATTTCACATTCAGGATATATAACACCAAATGAATTTTCAGCTGCTTTTTCAAAATCGATTGAAAGGTATTTCGGTTTCCGTCTAACATGTTGTTTCACAATTTTGAATAATTCTGCATAAGCTTTTTCATCTTTGTTAGGTAAAAGTGCGTAAACTAATGGTAAGCTTTTCCCACGTATTGAACCATGTATAGAGTACATTTGTTCAAACATTTTAGGAGCAACCTAGAAATGAAAGATTTCGTTTGCAATATTTTATGTATTTCAATTACTTACAGCAAAGGTACCATCACAATGCCAACTTTCACATTGATTTAAAAAATCCAATTGTTCTTTGCTTGCAAATATCAATAATCGACGATTAACATCATTATTATCATATAAAAGAAACTTTTGATTCGTAACAGTATTTTGAAAATTTAATGGAATAACAATATCGGCGAATGTTTTAGGTTCTGACGGAATATTATCATCTCTTCTAATACGTTGAATAACACGTTGTGATGCGTTATATTGAGGACTAGTAATAGCAGCATCTGACGATAACTTAAGTCGAGCCTCGTGTATTATTAATCTTGGTGTATCATGACATTCGGCAGCTTTCTTCCTAATTTCGTGATTATATAAAGCTTTTTCAATTTCGTCCGGATCTGGCGCTTGACATGTATGATCTTGGTATGCTTCAAACGAATTTCCATCAGGACGAGCACGACCTTTACACTTGTCCTTTACACAGCGCCACACTGTCCTATCTCGACGATAACGAAAACCATCGAGAAGAAGTTGATCATTTCCTTTACTTGACTTGATGAGAGACATTTTACTTATGGCATATACTTATCTTCTATATATATATATATATATACATGAAATACAGTCAATTTCGTTTGATTTATTCTCATCAATGTGTCAATTATACTAATCCGCTCATTGTTATCTGATCCAATTATTCCTTATGACATTAGGTTTTAGCTAAATTATTGGACCAGAAAAAGAACAACCTTCTCTGATTAATAGCCGTAAGCTTATTGATGAAATGAAAGGAGACAAAACTTGCGCTTATATATCGTCCGCTGTAGTGTCGTGCGCGATAATGTCAATGCGCGGTAGTGTCAATGCGCGGTGGTGTCGTGCGCGGTGGTGTCGTGCGCGGTACTGTCGTGCGCGGTACTGTCGGCGCGGTAATGTCATGCGCTGAAATATCGGTGAACCGAGAATATCACGAAGAGAAATTGTTTTCTTCGATCTGTTCGAAAAGATTTGTGTAGCAACAAGTTCGAATGGACCTTCATTACTTTCTGCATCGAGTGTAATCGACCAAATATTTTCATTTGATGAAAAACTTTTCGTTTGATAAACTTGCGCATTGATTGTTAATATAATTGAAACATTTTCAGTATCACTATAACCCCAAACGATGGATTTTTGTGGAGCACGTTGAAGAACCATATGATCTTGATAATAATTTGCAAAACGAAATTCACCATTGACTAAAACTGAACAGAAAACTATCGGGAGAAAAGAATTTTTTGAATCGAACCGATGTTCACGAAGAGAAGAACATAAAATTGGACAAAATTCTTCATAGTTGATTGACATGTGACATGAAATGATAATGTTATTGTTTAAAAATACTCGAGATAAGATAATGTAGAACAAATTGTTGATCTTCACATTTTCTGTTTCTTTTATCGAAATTAAAAAGAGAACCAACGTTGACATAGTTTGATGACATTCTCGTGAAACTACAAGTTGTAACCCAAAATTGAAATTGCTTTGTTCGATATTTCAAGAACATTTTATTCTTTACGGTTGACTTTATCTAATGAGTTTACAATCCACTTCCGCCTACTGATCTTCAACTTTGAATTTCCGTGGATATGCCGTGACAACTTTCATGACAAATGAGACAGTTCAATATTTCTGCTTGAAATAATCCTACTTTTATCTAAATAATGATCTCAAAAAGAGAATTTATTTGACCTTATTAACACTGAAGAATAACCGACAATAAAATAAAAGTGTCATCAATGTCGAATACTTTTGTAGCCTTATTATCTGTAGAAATCAATTTATATCGATTCGGTGGTCCAATAATGGTTATTTTAGGTTCACTTATAAGTCTAATTACGTTTAGTAAAAATCTTTTATGTAAAAATCTGTGTTCGATTTATTTTATTGCATTTAATTTAGCCAATCTTCTTTATATTTGCATCTCAATTATCTATTGAAAATTTCATACTTCGTCGTTTTCTTACATATTGTACATTCGTTCTCGATTGTCTTAGTTCATTTTATTTAATTTTGGCCTCGGTTGATCGAGTTTTGTTAACATCATCCAATGCTTTTGTTCGACTACGAAGTACTTGTCGTCTTGCTATTCAATGTACCATTGGTGGAGGTCTCTTTTGGATGTCATTTACTCATTCAAGTGAATATTGTAAAAATTGGATCAAATTATTTTCTTTGTTTTTTCTCATTGGGTGTCTATGCGTCATTTATTCTTTATGATTTAGTTATTAGAACAATTGTAACACCTTTAGCCATGATTTGCTTAGCATTGTGGACAATGAAAAACCTTCTACATATCCGTCGTATTCGAATTCATCCACCGATGGCATTACATACAATTCCGAAACCGAATGATATGAATTTGCTTCATCCGAGAGATCGTCAACTTATTCTGATGTTGTTTATGAATATAATCATCTATATTTTATTTAATTTTCCAACAACAATCGTTGCCACATATGATCTGGTTACACAAAACAATAACAGATCTTTGGAACAAACGCAAATCTTTTTGATCATGAGATATTTCAGTGTCTTCGCCCCTTATTTTCCGTTCTGTATTGGTGCTTATGTAAATTTCCTCATATCGACTACCTTTCGGAATCAAATCAAACAAATACTTTTATGTAAATGAATCTGAATCATATACAATCTGAGGAGTTTGGAAGAATGTCAACGTAACATCGCGGAATGTCGAGGAAACGAATATTCGCTTCATATGAATATCTATCGAAAATAAAAGTACGCAATAGAATCTTTTTGTAATTTGTCGGTAAAAAAAGAAAGAAAGAATAGACTCATTTATGGTCGAGATAAAGATGTGATGGAATGAACAGAAAGTGTAACATTCTCAGACAAATACGCAGAAGAATAAATTATCTTTTTACGAATTGATCGAATATAAATATCGAGGTTTTGTTTTACTATGGAATTAATTTCTCATCTCATTTGAAAAAATTATCATGAGATTAATTAATAAAGTTATCATCTTGTATTCTTTCGTTATTTTCTTCACTTTGGTTAATCTTACTTCATGTAATACTGGTAAAGTTATACTCGGACGGTTTAGAAAGACTCTAATAGAAAGAAAAGAACGAATTTGTGCAATTTTTGAGTCAATTAAACTTGGTTTAAGTGCAATTGAAGAAATTATCAATTGTCTTGAAAGTATTAATCGTGTCTTCATGGAATTTCAAAAGCACAATGAAGATTCGAATGATTCATTTGATACTGAATCTAGTGGAAGTCGATCCTCAGGTTCATCATCTGAATTCGGCGAAATCTCAAATGAAAAACGAAATATTCGTAGTGTTTTATCAATGAAGATTGATGAAACCAATGATTTTACGAAACAAACTCGATTATTACATCGACAGAAGCGCCTTTTCAAGAATTCATTTGATCCAGATGCGATTATACGTTCAGCATTAAAATCATTTGAAAGTCAACTCGTCAAAGCTGTTGAAAATTTGAATTTGAAATCTATTTTTGAACAAGTTCTACGTTTGCTGGATATTCCTTCAATAATCCAAAAATCATTTGGAGATTTGAATAAAATTATTGAAAAACAATTAGATATTCCAAATATTCTCACGAAAGAATTAAAAAAGATTAACATTGAACCATTTCTAAAAGAAATCATTGCACAACTTGATTTCATTTCCGTCGTAAAAGATCAAATGAAAAATCTCAATTTCGAAACAACATTCAATGACTTAATTAAACAAATTGATTTGAAAAAAGTCATCAACGAACAAATAAAGAATCTTAACATNTAAAAATCTCATGTTCAAATGAATTCATATCCGTCGAAATAGGCTCATTCGACGCAGAATTTCATTCTACATCGAATGGTGTCGTTTTTATCGACGGGAAAACGACCGAGAAGAGTTTATTTAGATTTTTCTATACATTTGTGTCTGGAAGGAAAAAATCTAAATAGAATCTTTTCAGTCGTTTTCCCGTCGATAAAAACGACACCATTCGATGTAGAATGAAATTCTGCGTCGAATGAGCCTATTTCGACGGATATGAATTCATTTGAACATGAGATTTTTATGATTTTTCGTTATCTGGTGCTAGCTAAATGGTGCTAGCTTCACACCGATTGCGTTGTTTCGTTCCGCCAATATCTGTTGGACTTTATTGAAAAGAACAGGATCCCACAGAAAAAAAGATGTTTTTCTATCGCTTCCTGAGATCGAGACGTTGGGCATGTGGTGTAATGTTTCAAAGTTTTGGTGATTTGGAGCTTATGTGATGACCCACACGCGCGGGTACTTGAAAAAAACTTAGGAAATAAATTTATTCAGGATTGTAGCAATTTGTCATGATTATTCAAATAGTTCAAACTGTGGCAATACTTAAAGAATTTCGTATCGAAAACTAAAGTTTTCATTGTTATGATGGTTTTGTTCGAGGGCATTTCTTGATTAGTTCTACTACAACCGTTGGATCAATTAATGTCGAAATATCGCCAAGATTATCAATATCAGGTTCAACAATTTTGCGTAATATTCGTCGCATAATCTTGCCACTTCGTGTTGTAGGCAAATTAGGTGCAAAATGTATAACATCAGGAATGACATGTGCTCCGATCGTTTCTCGGACACTACGCACGAGCTCTTTTTTGAGTTCATCCGTTTCGATTACGTCTTTTTTTAATGTGACAAAACAGTACATGCCTTGATTCTTTATCGGATCCTACATTTTTTGAAGAATAAAATGGTTTGACTTGAATATGAAATAGCCTACCGGATAACCAACAACTGCCGCTTCGGACACAGTCGGATGTAAAACGAGAGCCGATTCAACTTCAGCTGTGCCAATATTGTGTCCAGAAATGATGAGAACATCATCCTACAATTGGTAAAGATTAGAACTCCTTACTTTTGAAAAAGGATTGAGGTTTCGTAGGCCTATTCAGCAATGACTCAATACTACCAGATTCATCAAAGGTGCCCATTGAAAAAAATACGTGTTCGTATAATTGGGTGATTCCATGGGACTTGTGACACGATATACACAACATTCACCAAATCGCTTGAAACTTTCAGGACTCATATAATAATCAATTCTAAGACTTTTTTGCTCTTGGACGAAAGTTCTAGGACGTTTTGTTCAAGAGCCGTAGCCCAAATACTAAGTACCCTTCGGAACGGATTTTTAAAGTACCTTTTTCTTTCTAACACGCACAGTTTTGCACCACTTTGTGCTATGGAAATTCTGACGATATATTTGGATTCCTCANTCCTAGGACTTTCGTCCAAGAGCAAAAAAGTCCTAGAAGTGACTATTACATAAGCCCGGAAAGTTTCAAACGATTCGGTGAATGTTGTGTTTTTTTGTCACAAGTACCATGGAAGTAGCCAATTAATTACCCATGTCGCCTCTTTTTTTAGAACTGCGTCGCAGTTGCGCGCATTTGCGACGCAGTTACCGCATTTGTCTAGCCAATCTATTGGATGTTTTTGAATAATAACCGTTATTGCTAGTAATCGAGTATAAAAATGGATGAAAAAAAACCACTTAAGCTCATTATTTCAGTTTATAACGACCAGATAACTTGATAAAACAGCGGTTAACTTCGAAGAGTAAGTGACGCTTAAAATATGATGAGTCAGCAGTAAGATGAGTCATCGAAAAAAATGAGTCATCTGAGAGATGGGTCATCTTTTTCAACCAACGAGATTCGAGATCACAGTTATCATCGTTAATATGGTTCGAAATACTATTTTTTTTCAGGTGATGCGCGATGGATGACTGTTAGGAATGAATTATAGATGCCTGGGTATCATCGATGATGCATAGGTGAGTGCTTTTCATATATTTTGGGTCATTGATAGGTTGGTGGATGCCGCGAATGGGTCATGGGCAGGTGAGAAGCGGACCATTATTGTCGAAAAGTGAAAAATGACGGTGAATGGGTACGACTATCGGTAAAAGCAGGATCTCTCTAACGATCAGCCCCTTTGACTGATATTATTTCGTTTATTATAAACGTTTTTGTTGTGAAAATTATGTGCTTCTGAGATGAGTTAATAAATAAGAGTAGATAAATCATAACGCACAAAAGCTTAGGTGGTTTCATCACCAATTATCATTGTAATAGTAGGTGCAAAAGAGTTGAAATAGAGATAGGTGGTAATGCGATCATTGCGCCACAACTGCGTCGCAATCTGACCGCAATCGGAAACATGGGTAATATTGTTTTGGTTTATCGAATAAATTATAAAGTTTCATTCGTTAGGACTGTTTATCAATCTTCTCAAAACTCGAATTTTGATCGCTAAAATTGAAGTGACTCCAACCACATTTAAGATACATGATATGTTTATTTGTTTTGTTTTGAAGGTCTCAATAAGGGAAAAACTCTGTCCGAATAGATCGTAATTTCTTGATAGTTTAGTCGTGAAAAAAACAAATATACTACTATAAACTTATGATTAATAGAATGGTTGTTAAAAAGTGATTAAAAGAAAATTCTGAAATTTTGTTTGAACCAAACTTAGAGATAGATACTAGCTATAATGTAAAACAAACATAATTTCGCCAATATCTAGCTAACCGTAGTTAGAAGAAGTTTCAAGAAATTTAGTGGTATATATGAAAAAAATCCAGTCTTTCGTGTCAGACCTATCTGAAAAATTTGACCATCGCCGCCTATTATCAGAGTAAATTTCTCTGAAAAGAGACTCCTTAAAATTAAAGGCATTCAAAACTCACCACTCGACCCGTAATCCAGTGATATCCATTCTCATCGATTTCGCAACCATCACCCGTGAAATAAAAACCTGGATAACGCGTAAAATATACATCAACAAAACGTTTATGATCACCATAGATGCTACGCGCTTGACCTGGCCATGAGTCACATATACACAACTCGCCTGTACATGGTGGTGGTAGTTGATTTCCTGTGGCTTTATCAAAAATTTGTGTTGTTATACCAAAAAATGGTAATGTAACAGAGCCTGGCTTCAATTCTGTCACATTTGATATTGGTGTTATCAGAAGACTACCAGTTTCTGTCTAAAAAAATATTGGTAAGACAGAAAAGTAAATTGCGAATTCACCTGAAACCATGTGTCGACAATAGGACATCTGTTTCTGCCTAAAAAAATAAAAAGCCAGTACAGTGTACTATTTGTAAGGTTTTTTTTACTTATTTACGTAAGTTAACTAAATTGTCGAGTGACAAAACCAATATAGCTGAATACTGATTTTTAGATATAAAAATATTTTCATTTACATTTACATTTGACATCTACATTAGTATCCGTTCACATATATGCCCTACTAGGCAAGTCAATCAGGATGCTGCGTTTTACGAATCATTCGAGTCTTTCATTTGTATGAAATATCATTCTTTTCTGATACTCGTATTATATTAACTTTCTTGTCATCTTCATGGCTCCATATCAAGTTGTCCTTTACTATGATCTATCACTATTCATCCTTTTCCCTCTTCTCTTTCGTGTTTTTCATAGAAAACAATGCTCAATATCGTATAACACACACCTGAATTACATAGTGCACTGCAACATTATCGTGTACTTTAAGAATAACAATAAAGCTATTCTTCCACTTGTCTGATATACCATCTCACATTGCACATGTCTTCGTTACAACTGTCTGTTTAGAAATAGATTTGAAAAAAAAAACAATTAAACGCAACTCTTGTTCGTAGCCATCTTCAAGAATATATACGATAATAGATTTCATTAAGATGTATCTAAAGTTTGGTTTGGTGATATGCATGTTATTTCTAGCGTCAGATCTGGTCGTGTTTCAACGAAATATTTCATCAAAATAAGCATTTTTCAAGATGTTCCTATGGAAATGTCCAATATCCGGTACTTCGTCGACGAATAGAACTCCACTCAAACTCAACGAATATTTTATACATGAGAACGATATATCTTTAAAAATCTTGTGATGTGATAAATTGTACAGGATTAGCAGTATATAACGTCTGGTAACAGCCTAGAATGTCTTTTTTAAAATCTCCTTTACACAATGTCCCTGACTTTCCGTCCTTTTAAAAATGTCTTTGAAAAAGAATCCTTTCGAAAAATGTCCTCTATAAACGGTTCTCAGTCATTTGGTCTTTTGAAGAAACGTCCTCTTATGAAATATATCCTTTTTTATGGGACAAGAATTTCTGCAAAAATAGTTGAACATTTTGAATTATCGGGGTAAGTTATGTTTTATTTTTTTACTTTTCATTCTCAATAAAAAAAGAGAAAGACCACGTAATAAATCGTGTGATGTGATTCGCTTTTTATGAAATCTTCTATATATATAAAGAAGAAAGTTTGTCTGTTTGTTTGTTCGCTATGCATTCAGTCCCTGTGATAGCTATCGGGGTGAAACTTTCCACGATGCTTCCTTAGGCCCAGAGAAAGGTCGACATGTGCTTTGTTCCGAAAAAAAAACCGAACCACACGCATGCTACATGCAATCTATGAAACTGACCAATGGGATTACAGGATTTCAAAAGTGGATGAAATTGATAGCGAAGGCCGTCTGAGCGCTCAAAGACATCAATCCACGTGTTCTGCCTGTGCTCAGGAGTCCTACGCATGCTACAAGCAACCTGCGAAGCTGACCAATAGGATTGCGAGATGTGAAAAATTGCAGCGGGTCGGTAGCGAAGGCCGTCTGAGCGCTCAAAGACATCAATCCACGTGTTCTCTACGCCTATGATAGTTCGGTGAATGCTACAGATAATCTGCGAAGCTCACCAATAGCGTTACAGGTTCTCAAAAGATTAAGATAAATGTTGAGGGTGAGTGAATTCAAAGAATATAAGGTATGAAATGACGTGAGAGTGAGAAAGAGGTGGATCAATGAATAGCTGGAGTGGAAAATGAGTATCAGAGAAAGAGGAAATTTTCATAATTTCTGAGGCAGAAATTAGCTTCGATAACTCTTTTTTCTAAAAAGATATAGCCGAAACTGCCATTTTATGCGATGCACGGCGGGAAAATAACGACTGGAAGCGTAGAAATTTGAATTATACTGATTTTCTATCTGTTATAGCTCTTCAACACGTGAGATGTTCGACATAGATATTTCTTATTTGCAACGGGTACTCCCTCTAGTCGATTATATAATTGTCTCACTTGTTGTTCACCAATTCTGGATTGAGCTCGTTTTGCTCGATACTGTTTTTGTGATTGGTTGTTTGAACAACGTTTGAGGTTTTGGTGACGTTGATGATGGACTTGATTTTGAGGGACACGAAGGCGTTGAAGAAAGCCATGAGATATTAGTTGAAGACGATGGAGAAAATGAATTCAATGATGATGATGTTTTCATAGATATATACTGAATCAAGAGATGACATTGAAAATTATTCAGTGTATTTATATTTTGATAGAGGTGTACGTGCAGCAAGTTGTACTATAATAACTTTCGTCGGCGTCCTCCTTTCTTCATACATTACACTTACAACTGTAGTTTCTACGCAAACGCCAATGAGTCCTAACATCGTTGCGAACTATAATACTATTTACGTATCGGCACAATTTGGTTTATCACTTCAAAATCACAATAAAGGACATTTTTCAATGGAGAACATCTTTTCAGAAGACATTTATTTCGAAAACCTTTTGTCCGAGGCATTTTTTGAAAGGACCAAATATAAAGGATATTTTTTTCCTAGGGACAAAACTGGAGGACATTTTGTCCGAAAATATTCTAAAAAGGACATTCTAGCATGTATTCTAACGTCTAAAGGGGACAATTTCAACTCAAATCTTTTTTAGATTTTCTTATGAAGGTACTGCGTAGTGTCCTCGAACAAAATTTCTTTGAGAAGTAAGCGTGAGATCTCAAAACAAATTTCCTGATTAATGAGTATCTAAACGCAATGTGAGAATATTTGATTATTTTAATGCACAATTGAATATAAACTGCTTTCGCAATAATACATTAATATTATATAAATGTTAGAAAGTGATTCACGAATTACATACATTCAATGCATTTTATTGATGCATATGATCTTAATCAGATAGAATACCGGTTCGACTGAGTGTAAGATCTTATATGATTCCAGATTCAGATATCATCTTCGAACCTTGTTTTTTAGTTCTAGGAAAGAAATTCGAAATTTGTTCTGAAATTCCGCACATCTGACTAAAACTATGTTAAATTCTAGATTATTTTGTTAAAACCTAAAAGAATCTGAAAATAACGTCGAAAAAAGGTTCATTGGAACTGCACTAGTACATGTCTAACACGTTTACAAGATTTTTGTTAGGAAAAGAATATAATTGCTTGAACGTGGTTACTACTCTAGTATATTAATAGATTTAGTAAAAGAAGAAAAACATGATTTTACTAACCAATTACTGTATGATACCAACGCCATGCTTCAGGATTTATTGGTTCTCCTATAGTACCTAGAATTCGTAGCGATTCCCGACTGGTACTGGTAACAAATGTAGTGCTATATGCCATGAGCGAACGAATAACAGTCGGTGCCGTATAAAAAATATTGACGTTGTATTTATCAATAATTTGCCAATAGCGTGATGCATCAGGATAAGTTGGAGTACCTTCGAAGATCAGACTAGTTGCTCGATTTGCCAGAGGACCGTATATGACGTCTATTAAAAAATCAGTCATCTCATTTGCAATGAGTAATTCAAAGTCTGAGAAGAAAAGGCAACTTACACGAATGACCTGTAATCCAGCCGATATCGGCTGTACACATATACACATCGCCAGGCTGATAGTTGAAAACATATTTGAATGTAAGGTTAACACATGTCAAATAGCCGCCAGTCGTATGTAGAATACCTTTTGGTTTACCGGTCGAACCGCTTGTATAGAGCTAAAATCAGAAAAGAACATATTTTCCTTCCTGCAGTTTTCGATTACTATAAATAATGGATCTTCGGCATTCATCCATTCTGGTTCACAAATATCATTCACTTGAGTGATTTCATCATTGATCCAAAAATCACGTCCATTAATCCAACCATTTAAAACTGATTGAACAAAATCGCTTTTGATTTCGGGTCGAATATGATTCTGCTGGAACACAAGTACCGTTTTGACATTTCTACATTTTTCATATTTTAATGCTTCATCTACTTTATTCTTCAAAGAAGAACATTTACCACCGCGCATGCTTACGTCACTAGTAATAATTATGGTTGATTCACAATCAGCAATACGCTCTGCTAGATTGATACTACTAAAAGCAGCGAAAACAACTGAATGAACGGCACCAATTCTGGCACAGGCAAGTAAAGCTATAACTGCTTCTACCACCATCGGCATATATATTGTGACATGGCTGCCTTTCGTAATTCCGTGTTTTTTTAGAACATTCGCAGTTTTCTTAACACTATGTAGTAGTTCACCGTACGTTACATATTTAGACGCTACCGTTGGCACATCTGGCTCAAAAATAATTGCAATTTGTTGAGCAATATTCAAATCACGTTCAATGTGTCTATCGATACAGTTGTAGCACACGTTTAAGACACCATCTTCAAACCATTTAATGTCAACGCCACGAGATGAACGATAATCAAATTGCACATTTTTTATTTTTGTTGGAAAATGATACCAATCCAGCTGATTAGCCGCCAATTTCCAGAATTGATCTGGATCTTTGATCGATGAAGCGTAAAGAGAACGGTATTCATCGACTGATGTTATTGTATCCGGTAACTGTAAGCCGTTAGTCGAAGTAGAATTGCTTTCATTAGATGAATATGATCTGGACGCTTGACGGACCAATTCTTGCTTTGCATCAAAACTCGAATCATCCATGGCAATATATGGTGTGAACGAATAGAAGAGCTTTAAGAACAAGTAAGCAAAATGATCTACAATAAATAAGGAAAACGCTTTCAGCACAATCCTTGCGAACTAAAATGGGGCGCACGATCAATTTGCGCATTCTTCCAATGTATATATGGTTTCGCTAGTTTTTCATTGATGATGTCCTCTGTTTCGTTATAGAAATCATGGTTTAGAGCAGCGCACTTTGAAAATAACTTGTGCTTGCCAGAACCATTTCTTAGTACTGTATGTAACTGCCCCAATTACATGATCTGTACGCATGCTAATTGTCCTTTTTATGTTCTTACTTCCATAAATTCTGATATGCTGCAGCATTATCTGTTCTTTCCTTCTGATCGATAACTATATAAACGTGTATTTTGTTTCGAAAAGATACGATTCTTGAAAGAAAGACAGAAACACAGACATAGTTCTATCACCATATGAGTCAATGCACGAGAACGACAACCAGGGCTGCTCAATCGATGTCGCCGGTTTTACTGAGATCTATCCCGTCTTGTAGAGGGTATTTTGTTAGGCATAAATCCAAATTTTTAGCTCTAAAGCTTGAACTTTGACTGAGATACACGAAATTTACTGAAAGCACTAAAAATGGAGTTTTATTAATTTTTGAATTTTTTCAGCGGTCGTCGACATGCAGAATTTTCGTAATATGTCTTGAGAACAATGTGATAGACACCTGAAATTTTTACTGTACATACATTTCGACATGGAGAACACATCCATCTTATTAAATAAGAGATATATCGTTGAAAAGTGCAGTCGCTATTTCTGACTTGTTTGGAATATGCAGCTAAAAATGGTTCCCCTTGTGAGTGGACTTTCTTCCGATCAGCTCGATCGATTTCGCTCAAACTTGTTTTGCAAAGACTAATATCCTTGTACTACACACCTATGCTACCAGAATTTTGGGACCGTGGCGATTGACTTAGAAAGTGTGAATTTCAAAATAGTGACATTTTCTATCGCCTTATCGAGGTAGTAGGACCAATGAGGCTATCGATAGAATCAGAATGCAAATGCCGTTTGATCGAAAACCCTCAGCAATTATAGAAGTCAAGTATATTAATAAACTCTGCAAGTTTCAGGCTAATCGATGAACGTCTTCTCTCCTTTTGACAATTCACACTTCCATCATTAGCTTTGATCTGATTGTTAGCTCCATAAAAAATAATGCTGTCACAAATTTTTCAATAACTCATATGCGAGTTATCGTCGATTAATATCTCATTCGACAGGGTAGCTTACCTTGTACTAACCTCTATGCATTAGTTCCAATTAATGCAATGAAGATTTGGTTGAATATCGAAGTTTGCCCTGTAGCTTTGGTTCGGACAAGAATCGACTGGGAGAAGAAATAG